TGACCTGCCTCCTGTTGTCATAGGTTAGATAGGCCTCTGTCCTGCCCCTCGTCTTTCCAGTTTGTTCTCCCCTGGCCATGGTTGTACCCATGTCAAATAAAGTTCCATTGGGTTCTAGAGTGGAAAAAAAAAAAAAATTATATGGTATGAATCCATTTTTACAAAGCTTAGAAGAAAAACACATTATAATCCTATTTTAAGATTTTTAAATATAGTAAACTATGAAAATAATAAATATCAGTACGTAGACAACAGGACAAGGAGAGGAGAGGAGCAGTGAATGGTGAACGAAAGTACTGATCACAGCCTAAGCTTAGAGGTGGGCAGTGGTTCTAAGGGTGTCTGTAACTTACATTTATGTAACTTTCACTTATGCTAAAAATGACGTAAGAAAAAGTGAATGCAATTAAACAACAGCACCAAATTCAAAGCAGTGTGGTCAGGGCAGCCCCGTCAAAGGGATGGAGCAGGAAGTCGGGGAGAGCTTGGGGTGGCTGCCTGCAGAGCTGTGGGACAGCTACTCACAGGCTCCGCCTGTTGAGGTGGGCATGTTTGGCCTTCTGTTTTCCTGTGTGTAGGGAAGGCACTGCTGGTGTTTTACTGGAAACGGAGGGCAGGGTGTAGCATGGGCTCAGACACCGAAAAACACCGAAGCTCTTGGAAGGCAGCAGGAGCCAGGTCCTGGGGGCGGGCAGCAGCGGCCGTGACTCTGGTCCTCAGCTTTCATTCATGTCAGGGCAGGCCACACCGCAAGGTGGGTCTAAGCCACCATGGGAGCTAAACTTAGTGAGACTGCCAGTCTTACTGGATGAAGGACAGGGGTAAATATCCAAGTAGCTGGCAAGCCAGGGGAAATCCCCAGAAAGCAGAGAACCCAGCAGAAAGTCTGAAGTTCTGTGTACCAGCTGCCTAACTCTGGCTGACCGGGCCCCACACACCAAGAGGCAAGGCCATGCCCATTCAGCCCCACAGCTGGGCAAGATGTCGGGATGGCTTGGATCTGGAACAGGCAGAGGTGGCGGCGTGAACCAAATCTAGGCCCCAAGGTCACACAGTCTGTCTTGTTCCTGGGAAACATTCTAGAGCCCTGATGCCAGTTCACTGCTGAGCCCATGCTACACCCTGCCCTCCGTTCCCAGTAAAACACCAGCAGTGCCTTCCCTACACACAGGAAAACAGAAGGCCAAACAGCCAGGCTGGCCTGGACTTCTGGCCCCTTAAGTTGTGGCTGGTTGTTATAGGCTACCACTCTGGAAACACTAATCACATGGCTTATTACAAATAAAGAGCAGACATTTCAACAACACGTGCCACAGATACTACAAATAGTAATCTCCTTGCATAGTAGTCTTTTTCCCTTTGTAAGTATTTTATTTTCTTCATGGACCCAGAAAAGTTTCAGTTTACCTAATAAACTGTTAATGCTCTGGGGCATTATATTGACATCAATTATTTACTTAGACAAAAATTCTGAGATGCAGTGGTTATTTTCACCGAAAAACTTGCTGAAAGTTATAATGAACTGGTAGTTTTCTGACTTCTAAGGAGCTACTTAAAGCAAGCAAGTCTTCTCCAGATAGCAGACTACAAAAGAATCCCAGAGTGGTGGGATCTCGCGCTTCCCCACTGTAAGCCAGACACATCCTTCCGCTTTGCTACCCAAACCAACACTGCAGGCAGAGGCCAGGATCCTGGCCATGAATTTCCTGACTGTCACAAGTGTTCTAAAAGAAAACTCCCTCCTCTGAGAGCTTAATCCCCTCTCACAGGCGGACCCAGTGGTCCCGCTTGCTAGCTCGCTCGCTCTCGGGAAGAGAGACTATGGGAATGGAGCAGGTGCAGGAGGGAGGACGAGGAAGCCATTGGGCACTTCCTGCGGAAGCTGGCAGGAGGGACTGAATGCGCGTCCTGGACAGAATCAAATGCCCTCAGCCTCCCACAAAAGCTCAGTTCTCCTTTAATGAGTCCTTTGCACTCAGCCACTTTTGTCTCAAATTATGACAAAGTTTCTTTGGCTCCCAGCTGAATTTTTTCTAGTTCCCCCACATCCAAACACAAAGAAACAGCCCTGGTACTAAACAAGTAAGAAGGCACAGGCAACGAAAAAGCTGCCTCATTACAAAGTTTCTCGACTTCAGGAAAATAACGCTGTCTGGTTACCCAAACAGTGAGAAAGCGCACGGCCAAGTCACGCGCTTGAGCACATTATTCAGGCCAAGAGGGAGGCGATGACAAGGGACGAAGGCTGCAGACCCGCTCTCTTCTGCCCCGCTGGCTGGAGAGCGAGCCGCCAGTGCACCCACCCGCCGAGGCCGCAGTGCCGGGGGCAAGGCGTATGTACCGGGAAAACGCTGACAGCTCATCGAATGATATTCAGTGAAAATGCTAAAAAAATTAATAAAGAAGTTAAGCTGCTGAAATACAGTTTCACCAATTAGCTTAATGTCAGAGAATTCTAATTAGGCGTCTTGAGATTGCTATTTAGTGTCTAAGCCTTCAGAGTGCCAAATTCTCCTTTTCACACAAACTGGCTGCAAAATTAAAGACATTAGGCATCCTTAATTACATTATCAGAACAGCTGGGATTAGGCAATCTCTGAAGTCAAGACGGCATTCTTTTGTCCTGGGTGGAAATCCCTGGCTTTCCAGGGTGCCGGATTTTGGTACTATTCCATATCTCACCCAAACAAAGCAAGCTGTATTAGAAACAAAAAATTTGCAGACAAAGAATAGAGTAATGCACAGCAAATAATGAACACATTACCGAAACAAGAAAAGGTAGGTGAAAAGATTAAGCCTGAAACCGGTAGGTTTTGCTAACACCTCTGCTGGCGGCCAGCCTGCTGAGCCTCTGGTGGCAGGAGACAGTGGAGCCCACGGACCGCGGTGGACAGGGGAGGCTGCGCTGTTATCTGAGGCCAGGCACATCCCGCTCCTGCCTCCCAGGGGGTGCAAAATTAGCAGCTATTGTCTTGACACATTTTTACCAACACAATGCCTTTTATGTCTTTACACTGTTTATAAAGCTGTGTTTCCTGCCTGGAGAACCCTCTTTTTTGTTCTCATTTCTTGAGCAACAGGACAGTCTCTCCTTCACCCCTCCTACTCCACTCCTTAGGCCTTTAAGCCACCAACTTTTTAAACAGACTTGCTTAATGGCATGACTTTTTCCTATTAAAAAACACTGACGCTTGAGGCTGGTGGGGATACAGGCAATCTCGGATGTGGCCAATCTGGACAAGGTAGAAATGGACTCTCCCCACAGCGGCCACTGATCAGACTCCTGCAGGCCAGGCACTACCTTTCCTTAAACCACTGCGGCATCTGAGTTCCGGCATGTCACCTCAGTCGCAACCCTGTGTGCTGCTATGGTCCAGGAGTGCCATCGCCTGCTACCTGCTCGCCTCTGTAGCAGAGCGGCTTGGGTCACAGCGCTCTCCCCATCCCAGCTGCTAGTGGTGGCCCACTCTGTTAATTTAAACACCATCATCCATGGGTCCAGATAAGCCAGCTCTGCTGTCTCCAATGTCACCTTACACTCTGGCACCCTCACTTCTATCAGCCCCACCGTCCGCACCTGTTTTGTCCCCTGCTGGAATTCCACTGCATGAGTTATACAACACTGGCTTCTTATTTTATTTTTTGGCAGAACCAGGGAATGAACTCAAGCCCTTGTGCTTACCAGGCAAGCACTTATTCTACTGAGCCATCTCCCCAGCCCCGACCCTGGCTTCTTGTTCGAGTCTGTCCTGAAGGTAAAGCAGGGTTTGGCTTAGACTACACTATTTTTCAAGGAGCTCTAAGCATCACCTTGACAAAACTGAACACCTTCCAGCACCAACACCCCCATGCTCTGAGCACAGAAAAGCACGCCCCTCCTCAGGAGAAGAGCCAACCTAGAGAAAGGTCCCACAAGGCCACAGAATCAGTGGGCAAGGATTTTAAAGCAGCCATTAAATTTCAAACATGCAAATAAAAGCATGGTTGTGATGGAAAAATCAACAAGAAATCTCAGCAGAGGGCAGAGAAGCCATGAAAAAAATACTCAAGTTGAGTTTTTTAGAATTGGCAAATAATATACACAGACCAAAAAATTAACTGTTCAGTATAACAATAAACTGGAGCTGACATGAAAAACAAAGTTAGAGAACTTGAAAATAGTCAATAAATATTATCCAATCTGAAGAGGAAAAAATTCTATGTTGAAAAGTTTAACAGCGTAAATGAGGTCAGAAAAAAAGGAGGAATAGTGTGACAAAAGATACTTGAATAAAGCCTGAACACTACTCAAATTTGGTGAAATACCTTTACAAATTTAAAAACTCAGTGAGCCACAAGAAAACAAGAGAAGGATCATACCAACATAACTCTTTACAACCAAAAGAAAAACAAAACATAAACAGCAGCCCAGTGTCCACTCTAGCTCACTCATGTGAGGGGAGTTCGCGATTGCAAAGCTGAACCACCAAGTCTGAACGATCCGCACACACTTACTCTCCAGGGACGTACTGTCAAGACACCACTGACCAAGACTCAGAAAGACTAGAGACATTCTCCCTAGCCTGCTTCTACCCCAACTCGGAGGCGGGGACGGCTCACCTGCTTACTCTCTCCCACTCCCCCAAGGGCCAGGGGAGCCAGGACCGCTGTCTGTTACTGCACTGGTAACCCAGCACCTAGCAGTGCTTCCAGAACATAACAGGTGCTTAATGAACAACTGTTAACTGAATAAATGAGATTAAAGTCCTATCACTTCTGACATTATGGGGAATGCAAAAGTTATAATTTAGGTAAGATACTATCAATACATTTAAAGAATTAATGTAGATTTTTCATAGTTAAAGAAATTCTTGAGTCTACGACACTGTAAAACATGTGTAAAACAGTTTATTGTGCAAACATATACTATACTCCAAATGTCTCCTCTTATCTAAAGCGATGAAAATCAAACTAATTTTTATGAAAGAAAATAAGACTGCTGACATAAACGGCTAAATCACCTGTCCTGCTAACTCCAGCCGCTTGTTTCCATAGTAGTCTCTGTCGTCGACTTTGTTGTCTCCCTGCGCCAGAATGACTCTCCGAACCATCACTGCGGTGTAGATGCACTTGGCTCGGAAATTGAATTCCTTGACCTGCAACACAGAAATCACGGGAAAGCTCTGAGACAACACATCCTGCAACGTATTGTGCCTTAAGAAAAGAGCCAATGCCGCAGCTCTTAAACAAGCAGCAGCAAACGGCTCTGACTCATCCGGTCGGGGGCGGCACGGCTGCAGGGATGACCCCTCGCACTGCCGTGGTGCCTTCCTCTACCCTACCCACGGGCACTGCTCCTTCAGGTCAGGTCTGACCAGTGACTGAAGACAGCGCTAGAACGATGGCCAGCAATGCCTGGCCTGCCCAACACTGGGGACAGCCTGGGATGGGAAGACAGCACTGCAGGCTCGGATCCGGAGAGGAAGCCACCCCCTCACCCGGAGCTTTCAGACAGAGGACTCCACTTCAGCCACAGGCCCGCAGGGCCATCGCCGCCTGTTAGCCGGCGCAGGGGCGGCGACCCTCAGCCTCGCCGAGACACCCTGGATGCACGCTGGGTGGAGGGGCGCGTCGCTGCTGCCTTCTGGATGATCTTCTTGACCACAACCTGGGTGCTACCGGAATGATCCAGCTGTCAGAGCTGAATCAAACCTGATGAAACAACTGTACTGGTTTGTTGGGTGAGAAGAAAACCATGACATCTAAAAAGAGGGATTCTGAGTCAGCCTAAGCTTCCGTCACTGCAGGAAGAATCCACACAATGCTGTAAAATTTCTACTTCACACACCTTAGTTCCTTAGTAAAATCCTAATGAGATCTTCATTAGTGAGCCGTTCACTAGGACAGCAGTTTAGCACATCTAAATTTAGAACAGCAAGCACATTTACTGTTGCTAAATAACACAGGTTGTTAGGATTTCACCTGTGTTCCAAACAGCTCATTTTCCTTCAAAGGGATTTTCTTTCTTCTCCAGTCAATTTATTCTCTATCACTGGGAATTTTGGAATTTGTTAAATTAATTTGGAATCTGGTAAAAGACAAAGTAGGCCTAAAAGCTCCTGTGTCATCTTACAATCACAAAACAATTACATGATCAAAGTCTTCAAACAGAAAACTCTTGTCCACCGTCACAACACCTTATCTCCAAAACATCATCACCACGGTACCTGACAGCTTTAAAGGAGCCATATCCTCAATACTTACAAAGTTCTATGGCTCACTGTATCTTTCTGATCTCGGTGAGGCCAGGTGAAAAAAGCTACCTTTCTGGCTGGGCATAGAGTTGCACACCTGTAATCCCAGCAGTGGGGAGGCTGAGACAAGAGGATCACTGTGGGCTCAAGGCCAGCCTGATCTGCATAGTGAGACCATCTCAGAAAGACCAAAAGAAAAAAAAAAAAAGAAAAGAAAAAGAAAAAGGTACTTTTCCTTGCTGAATTAACTTTGCTTATGAATAAGAAAAAAATGAAGCAAATTTTCATTAACTAGGCCTTCAGCTTTCAGCTAGGATTGCTTCAGCCTTCCTACATATGTAAATACTGACAGGCTCCCCTGAGACACATATGAGAGGTAGGGTGTGTCATTTACAGCAAATGTCCCCACCGAATATGGCTCTGGCACCCTCACTCACATCGCCCCCCCTCACTGTGTGACCACTACATTCGGCAAAGCAAGTCCAGGGCTGTGCCCAGACATGCTTGCTGTCAGCACGGTTTCCCAGGATGGATCTGAGCCATGCGGACAGTGGGAACTGCCATCACCTTTTGGTCCAGGAGCAACGGCAGCTTGGATACTTCTTTGTGAGGTGCTATCACACGGAGGAGAAAGACAGAACAGAACAATTCAGAAGTTTAACCTTACCTTGAGGAACAAGGGCCAGACTCAGGCGGCACCCGGCCAGTGAGTGGAGTGGTGGGCACCAGAGTCACTGGGCCAGGAGGCAGGGCCACCCCAGAGCCTGCTATGTCAGCAGGCCCGGGGCAGCACTGATGCTGCCAGTGAGGGGAGGGGTGCTCTAGAGAGATGCACCCGCAAAGGCCCTGACCATCTCCCTCGCTGCGATCACCTAAGCCGGTGCTTTCTAAGCATGCATCATCCTTAAGTCCTCCTTACCTCAGTAATGCTTAGTTACTGAGGGTTTCTAACTAACTTCAGACAACTCAAGGCAAGCTTGGTCCTATGCTGTATCACAAAATTAGATGTCACACTGAGATCTGACGAGCAACTTGTATTCTTCCTGAAAAATACGTCACTGTTTAAGTCAAATGTCCCTATAGCTCTTAAAGTCCCCTTTCATATCATATATGGGTAAATACGGTCCTAAATCACTCTGGAAAATGAAGGTATGCGTCCTGGTTTATCTACTCTGCCTCTACTCTTCACTGGATCAGGCAGAACCAACTCAGGCCTGTGTACAAGTGCAAAGCGCGAGGTTTCCCACACGAACCCAATGAGCAGCTGTGCAGAGCCCGCCGCGCACGAGGTCCGGGACGGCCTGACGGCTGTCCTACACAGGGAGGCAGCGCAGGACTGCACACAGCGCGCCTTGTGGGCAGCAGGGATCAGAGCCTCACATACACTACACTGCTGATTGGTCACAGCAGCCCCGGAGCGGGCAGCGCCACGCTCACTACACTGAGAACGCTGAAGGTGAGAAAAGTCAGATTCTAAGAAAACCAGTTAGGAAGATATCAGAATTTGAACAATGCTTCTGGCTCGACAGTTCCTATGGTTTCCACTACCCATTTCTGCTGTCTTGCGTTTCAAATCACTTCACAGTTATCCAGAACAGCTGACTACTCAGCTGGGACTCAGTTTTGCTGTTAAGGACCTTCTGGTTCTTTGGACGGCACTGGGGCTGGGAGATGGCTCGGCAGAGTAAGAACTTGCCTGGCAAGTGCAAGGGCCTGAGTTCAATCCCCAGTTCCACCAAAAAAAAGAAAAGAAAAAAGAAATTTACTTTAAAAAGGAGGAGGGGAGCCCATTAGCTCAGTTGTTTCAATGACTGCTTAAACAAAGCAATCAGGATGCTGTGGTTTGATCCCCAGATCCTCAAGCCTTACCAGACCTGCCCTGAAGGCATCCTGAGCCAGCCAAAAAAACCCCACTTTGGATGGCATGAAGAACACATAAATGCCAGTAAAGGGGAGCACCAGAGGCAGTGTTATTCACCCATGAGGGCATCTAGCGTAGAAGAACACATTCAGTGCTGCCAGGTGGCCCTCTATAACTCCACAGCCCATAGACAAAAGTTTTTTTCTATTTTTAGTACTAGGGATTGAACTCAGGACCTTGCGCTTGCCAAGCAGGTGCTGGAGCCACTGAGCTACCCCCTTCCCTTCTTTTAGAGCTGGCCCAAGGCACCAGTGCAGCCTCTGGACCTATGGTGCACCGGGTTTGTGTGCCCACACAGCGAATCTGCTTAGTAAGTTAACCGAACATAAATCCCGTGCACTGGTTCACAGCTGGGGAGCCAGAATGTGGCTCTCTCTGCACTGCTCTCAGCCGGGTGACAAGGCAAATCACTAGCTGGTGTGCTCACGCAAGGACTTCACTGTGACAGAAGGAAGCTGAACAGTCAACTCCAGAAGCCAGGGCCTGGGGAAGACACTTACACAGCGTTTAGCAGTATTTATCAGAATGATGGCTGTACTTAATGGCAAAGAACCATACTTTCAAAATGGTTAATTTGGGTAGATTTTGCCACAATAAGGCATATGGAAAGTCACTGCAAGCATGTTTTAATTTTAAAAACAGACAACATGGACTGGGGAATGTAGCTCAGTGGCACCAGCACCCGTGTGGCCAGCACAAGGTCCTGGGTTCAGTTCCTGGTACAGAAAACAATACAAAGTGCTAGCTCTGTCCTTTGATCCATGAGCTCCGGCAGCAGTGCTCACGCATCCACACGAACAGGAAGTACCTGAGAAGGGGGGACCCAGGGGGCGGCGCCCAGCCACGCCACACGGCTAACGTTCTGAACGCAAAGAACTGCTAGGCAACTCCAGTGAGCACGCAGGCCCCTGGAATTCTTGCTTAAGTAACGTGCTTAACACGGACAAGCATGTCCGTACAACTCTGCAGCACACTCGCGGCTGCCACAGTCACTCGTATTCACAGCTGCAGAAGGTACTCACGGGCACGTGGGTCAGAATGGTGGAGGCCAGGAGCTCCCTTGCTTCTTCTATCTTGGTTTTCTTTGGTCCACCGCCCCACATCCTTTGCCTTCTTACTTTATTTCCTATGTATTTTAATGCCTATAAAAACAGGAAAGAGTGTTTGAATGCCACATCACTGGAGATCCCTCATGAAGCATCCATTCATACATAAGGCACGCGCAAGAAACAGGAAGAGAACAACAGTAGAACTCTGGAGGGCCCTGGCTGGTGAGCAAGCTGCCCTAGGAGTAGTTGGAAATCAACTTTTATTATGAATCAGTGTCAGAAGAGTGTAACCACTGCCTAGTACACTGGGTCACTTTGTACTTTGAAAATGCTTTTCCTGGGGCTGGGAACACAGCTCTGCGGCACAGCACCTGCCTTGCAAGTACAAGGTCATGAGTTCGATTCCCAGTACCAAAAAACAAAAACAAACAAACAAAAAAAAAAAAGTTTTTCCTCTTATAAAATTAACACCTGATCATTATGGAAAATTTAGAAAATATAGCTTAGTATGAGGCGTATATGTGTGCGCATGTGTGTAAAACAGCCATTTAATCATCCACTCAGAGTCAGAGCTGGGGGATGGTGTTTTTCTCTCTTAAAAAAAAAGCACACCAAGTAAGACCACACTAAAAACTACAAACCACTGCTGAAGGAAAATAAACTCAAACTGAAGGTTATAACTGCTAATCAGATTCCTAACAGGCCTTTTAAAAAACGAAGATCAGATGATTTTCAGTTACAGATTCCATAGTTTACATAACAATGCAAAGAAATAGTTTAAACACTTGAAAAAAAAGTTGTAGTACTTACATTACTCAATTTCAACTATGAGGCTATAGTAACAGGGACAGGGACACTGGTCAATGACAGGCAATGGAAGAGGATGAGACCAGAAATAAACTCAGACTCCACGGTCAACTGATTTTGTTCAAAAGTGCCAAAGAACTTCAACGAGAAAGAAAGGCTTTCCATGAAATGGTGGTAAAACAACTAAATATTCATACCGTTATGTCTCAGTTACTCTTCTCTCATTGCTGGGACAAATACCTGACACTCGAAATGAAGGAAGGAAGGTTTTTTTAGCTCATAGTTACTGGAGGTTTCAGTCCATACTCGGCTGGCTCCGAGGCAGGGAGGCACATGGAAGAGGGCAGCCACTCATGGCGGTGGCCAAGAGCAGGAAAGCAAATGGGAGGAGCAGCAGCAACAATGGCAGCAGAGAGAAGTCTGTCTCCCTTAAGCTCCACTCAGGCTGTGTGCCCCAGGCTGGGAATAGTACTCACACCCATAATTCCAGTGGATCATGAGTTAAGCACAAATTCTAGAAGTCTGCCCTATGACTGCATGAGGCTTTGGGGGGACAAATACACACAAACCATAACAAGTTAAAAAAGAACAATAACCTTACTCTCTACCTCATACCCAGTGGAAAAATTAAGGTTTATTTTATCCTATTTTATATGTATTTTTAGGGAAGGGTCTACAGGGTGTTCAGGGTCTCACTACTAGATTGGACTTGTAGTGATCCACCTGTTTACAGCCTCCTAAGTGCTGGGATTACAGGCGCATGCCACCACGCCCAGTCTCAATCACCATCTCAGTATGCTCCGGGGGAGGAGCCGGCACAGCAGGCCTGGGGATCGAAGCCCTGCTTGCAGGTGCTTTAGTCTGCTGAGCTATTTGGACAGCCCTAAGGTTGATTTTAAATCTAACACAAAAAATAAAACTATGAAGCTTCTACAAGAAACTGTAGACTATACTCCTAATCTCAAGGTAGGCAAAGATTCCTTTAAACAGGAAATGGAAAACAGTCGCCAGAAAGGACAACTCAGTAAGGAGTGTGAAGAACTGATCTGAACTCTTCACGACAAAGACAGCGGCCAAAACACACACCAGAGAGCTCAACATCAGCAGTTACCAGGACAACGAAAATAAACGCTACAGTGTGCTCCTCCACACACACTACGACACTTTTTCCAGAAGAAGACCGTATCATTCTTCTATAATTAGCACGTACTTTTTAAAAATCTGGCTCTCAGTTCCTCAGAAGCAAGGGGTAGTACCTGGAGCCCTGGAATTCCACCCCTGTGATCAATTCCTTGTTTAGGCTGCAGAATGTGGAAGAAGCCGGTCCACACCCTGCTTCTCTTTCTCTGCTACTCTTAATTCTTTGCACATAAAAAATTCAGTACTTTCGTGCCTACATGCAGGCACATTTCATTACCTATCCATATCCATGTGGGAACTCTGTCATCATTCTCTTTGCATCTTAATGTTTGTACAGAGCCTGCAACTAAACCTGGCAATAAGATTGGGACATCAATCCGAGGATCTGCCCTGTAAAAAGTCAGTAGAGCCCCAGACAAACCCTCAACATAACCTGCTGCCATGGGCTACAGTCAACGGCAGCAAGTGAGCAGAGGTGGGAATCCCAAGGAGATGGCAGCTAGGCTGGCCCTAAACTGAACTGTCATCATCAAATCTTTAACTTCCTAATTCCCTGGGAGAAAAGCTGAAGCTTCTCACTTCTCCCAGGAAGCAACACAGGAACAAGGAAGCCCTACCTGTGGAGCACAGGGCCAGCATCCTCTAGACCACCTAGCGATGCCGTCAGGGCATCCCAGCCAGCGTTGCAGCCTTGTGTTCACAAGGAAACAATACCGAAGCCCCGGCGCATCCTGTGCCCCTAAGAACAGCAGTAAGTAATTTCTCATCAGCACACCAGCGCCCCGGCAATGGTGTAGGCCTTACTCAGCTAACACAGACAGAAGCAATGGTGGAAAGCCTAAAAGAAAGGAATCAAAACAAAAGCAACCCCAAGCCTCAAGTTGTAAGCAATCTATCACAACGCAAATCTGCAAAGCTTCTATTCCATAATACAGCGCCCCTCCTACATTTTCCTTGACAGCAGCGCAGAACGTTCACGAGTTCGTAACTGAGAATGCGTGTTCAGTGGACAGGCCATCTGCCTCACCCTGCCTCTGTACCCACTCGGGAGCTGCAGTGCCATTGACACCTTACCCCACCGTGCACAGTCTGAGCTCCTCTAGTCATGGCCTCACTTGGAAGCCTGAACATTTGTCTCTCTTCTATTAACTAGTTAATTATATATTCCCTCCATCTTGTCACTGGCCTGATCTATTAAGCTACCTGAAATTCTCTGTCAGTAGCTATTCACCAGAAATAAGTTTATGCGTTTCCAGCCCACTGTTAACCCCTGCTCAGACAGTTTTACAACACTTGGGGTTATTTAACCAACAATGACGATGTTTGCAATAAAATGCATAGTGGATCTCATTATGGAGGCCATGAAGGGACTCACTCCGCAAGGCCGAGGCTGGCTCAGTGTCAAGTCACAGTTTCCCCACACCGAAGCTGTTAGTCCTGTGCACAGGGTGGACTCCTATTTTCTGTTTCCTGGGGCATCCTCCATGCTGTTTCTTTATGGTCTTAGAGCCCCTGAGCAATACTCCTCCTCCTGGCAACCAAGATTCACGCCTAACAAACAGAATCCTCTGACACAAACACCTGTTCCTGATGCCGCTTAGCCCATTATTTCAGTCAACTATTAATTAACTGTAGAACAAGAGGAAGGCAGTGCTGAGAGTAATCCTACTGATTTGTGCTTTGGAACTATATACACACTCACATATGATAATGAACCTTCTTAAATGCTTGGTTTAGTCTACAAAAATATCGGGACTGATGCACTTTCAGAGTACACACGAACAGACTATCACTGAGACGTCCAGGGCGACAAGAAAATAGCAGCCTGGAATGCACGTGTGGCCATAAGGACCCCACAGGACAGACAATGCAAGTGGACAAATAAGAACTGGCCGCTATGATTCCGTGGTGCGAATCCTTACCTCGGCGCAGCTACGAGGAACGCTGCCGAGTCCTTAGCACAGCATTCTACACACGTACTAAAGTACGGCCTTCAGACTTCTCCACTTAGGAAAGGAGCGGCAGCACCTTCACTATCGTGGACACACAGATTCCCTGTCTTCATGTTTGAGACCCTAAAATTCACCTAAAAGGGTCAACAAAGACCCAGAGAGGTAACAGGGACTACATGTGACCTCTCTTGCTATCTGAGACTGTAATCTGGAGTCCAGGAAACAGGACTGAGAACACACACAACTGGATGCCTAAGGCAAACCAAGCAGAGAACATACACAGTACTAAGGGCTGAGGAATATATACCTTAGTGGCAGAGTGCCTGCTGAGCATGTGTGAGGCCCTGGCTTTGGCTTCCAGCAACACACACACACACGCGCGCGCGCGCGGAAGATACTAAGGAAAAAATGCATAGTAAAAAGTTCTTCTATATTAAAACTGCCAAAGTCTCAAAAAAAAAGCTCAGCATGGTGGTATGTGTCTGTAATCCCAGCATTTTGGGAAACTGAGGCAGGAGGATCACGTGTAAAGTCAGTATGGGTAACTTAACTAGGCACAGTCTCAAAAATAATCAGAGCTAGAGTTGTAAGTCATTGGTAGAGTGACCCTGGGTTCAATCCTCAGTACTGGAAAAAGTAAAAAAATAAAAAACCCTCACTTGTTCCTTATTTAATAAGGAACAAAGTAGTTCCTGCTATCATATATGAATAAAAGCCCCGTGGCCATCCATCCCTCTTCTAAATGAGACACGTAGGAAAGGACTTGGGTTCCTCCGATCTCTACCATGCTGAAGACTGCTCCACCTCTCCCGGCCCACACCCTCCCAGATGGGTACAGCCCCAGGCCTGGCAGGGCTGGCACTGAGCTGCCAGCTGCAGTTAGCTCCAGGGAGGGGGTGGTGGAGGGCAGCCTGGGGCACACCTGCATCTGCAAGGAGGGGGTGGTGGAGGGCAGCCCGGGACACACCTGCATCTGTGTGAAGATCTGCGCCTTCTGGCACTCCTCTAGGCTGGGCCCAAACGCAGCCATTACCCGCTCCTCGGTCCCAATCATCTGCACAATTTCCTGGTCACTCTCGACACCCATGGCCTAGGAGGAGAGAAAAGATAGGGAGCCGGCTTTGTGCTAACTCGCTGACATTTGCTTATGCTAATTTGGCATTGTTTGTGGGTGCTACTCCTAAGCGAAAGCAGCTCTTCGCTGAGGCCCTGGGCCATCTGGCACTGGCAGCGGTGCTGGCGGCAAAGAACCTGCAACAGAAGTGTTGATTAGGAAGAGGAAAACAAACAGGCGCATTTTCCGCATGGGCCCCATCTCCAGAATTCTTGAATACTCTACATTTCATCATGCAAAAAGGAGACCAGGAGGCATGGAGACAGTGCAGGAAACAGAGGAAATGCATGGGGGCAGGGGCAGAAAAGCACGGGCAGGGACAGAAGACGCGCACTACTAAAACGAGCAGAGGCCCAGGCAGCTGGATCACAAGATAAATTTTTCTCAAAAGTGTAAATCATTCATATTCAACTTAAAAGAATTTCTCTAATGGCTGTTTTACCCCATCATTCCACAGTTATCGAACCACACTTTACGCCTAAAGATGCTTAAGAGATGTTTACAAACAGAACACACCAAAGAGGTTTGGGAAGCCCGCTGAGTGTTCTGAGGTGGCTCCATGGGTCTCTGCAGGTGCTGCACGGCCTGGAGGTGCCCTACCTCCACCCCTGGTCTGGACCTCCATCCAGCTAAGCTCATCTGAGCACCGTGATCCGCTTCTCGAAGGCTGGGGGCAAGTGGGCACCAGCGTGAAAATTCTTCACAGACTGTACCAGCAGACGCACAGCCAGCAGAGCCTTCTGGTCTCACTCTCAGTACTCCTCCAGAGAGCGCCCCATTTTCCCTGCGTGGTGCCTCCCAGTATGGGACCTCAAGGCCACCCACTGGCTGCCACACAGGAGCGGCCTCTAGCTCCTGGTCCGGGCCCAAGGGACACATCCTGACAGAGGGCCCCGCTCGGACAGCAAGGATCCCACGGCCTCACTCCCTCTCCTAGCTGAGCATTTTCACTTGGGTGACGAGGCAGCATGGCCAGGCCCCTTCCGGCTCAAAGTTCTCTAATTTCACAATGACCTTGACTGCAGTGTTAACTCTGTGGCTCACTGTTAGGGGCAATAAGCAGCATGCAGGGCTAAGGCTGCAGCCTCCCGCTTGTTCTAGCTGCCAGGTGGCAAGACAACTGAGCCCTCCAGGGGGAGCCTGGCGGCAGGGGGAGCCCAAGGGCAGGCACGAAGGCCTCTCTCCCACCGCCACAGCCAGGGAGGCCGAGCTACGAGCTCCGTGGATGGCCAGGCCCTCGAGCTCCAGCTCCAGGGCCTCTCGGCCAGGCTGAAGCCCCGACACTGCTAGGACCTGAGACAGAAGCGCAGTCCAGCAACCTTCAAATTCCCAACCAAAAATAACAAAAAACCCCAACTGACAGAAACTGTGTGCTAACTTGTCAACAAGCCTGACAAATACAGCAATTCCCGACTAGCGGACACTGTGATAACTCGTTACATGGCACACCTGACCAATACGCTAACTTCTGGAATTAAATTTACTATTTGAACTTTAAAGAAAATTCAATCGGTAATTTTACTTGTTTCAGAACTTTTTTAACCAAGAAATTTTCAGGACAAATTATTCTGTAACTTCAATTTTTGCAGTCTTTTTACTTCCAACTTGATATGATTTTACTTCAAAGGATACTAGAAATAAACTCTATTTGTAAATTATCAAATTTTTAAAATACTGAGCATTTCATACATTAAAGGAAAGCAACTGTAAGAACAGGTACAGTGGTCATGGCTGTAATTGCAGCACGGGGCGGGGGGGCTGAGGGAGAAGGACAATGAGTTTGGGGCAGCCTAGACTAAATATTAAGTTCAGGACCAGCCTGGACTATATACATAGCAAGAGCCTATCTTGAGATATCAAAATTAAAATTTTTCAAAAAGATGGTAAATAAAAAAGGGTGGCAATTATTTAAAAAATGATCAGTTCCACTTTTTTAAATAAGTGAACAAAAACTAGGCCACTCTTAAGCGCATCGAATGGTCTCTACTCTGAACGGCGCTGACATACAGGAGCAATCAGCTACGCGTCTCCCAGGTCCCCACGTCACCAGCCCTAAGCACAGGCACAGAAGCCCACGTGGAAGCTAGCAAAGGTGATTTCTCCTGTCCAACTCTGTGTTACAGGATCAAACTGTAAAAAAAGCAACACTAAGTTAAATAACTGGTGGCAGAACCTAACCATGCTTCTCTAGTATCTTTGATATAAAGACATTTTAGCAATGCGCTTCATTTCTAACAGAAAAACCAAAACCTAACAGAGATCTATTAGCATCTGGGGCAGACGCTAACCTGAGCACACACGACGATGCGCTAGCAAGCGAAGGTCTGTAAAAGAAAGAGAATCCTGAGGGAAATGCAGGCTTTTATGGACTAGTTAACATCTATACAGGGGACTTAAAGGCCACCTATATTTTAGTAATTTGCACTTGTATTTCCATAATCTCCAAGTGAAAAAGACTATAAACTTGATTGCTCACTTTGATGTTAAAAAATAATCGAAGCTCAGCAGCCAGGGTTCCATCCCCTGTGTACCGTGCTGTGTCAGCCGTGATGGAGACTGGGTGTGGTGGTGCCTGCCTGTAATCCCAGCACTCGGGAGGCTGAAAACAGAATCACTACAGAGTCCAATCTGCGTAGTGAAGCCCTGTAGATCCTGTACCAAATACATACATAAATAAATAAACAGGGCTGGCCAGACAGCGCAGCAGACTAAAACACCTGCTTAGGCAGAGCTCAGCGGCCCGGGTTAGATCCCAGGTGTGCCGTGCCAGCTCCACCCCTGGGGCATGCTGAGACCCCCATTGAGACTGGGCATGGTGGCACATGCCTGTAATCCTAGCGCTTGGGAGGCTGAAAATAAGAGAATCACTGAGTCCGATCTACGTACTGAGACCCTCAGACCGTCCTAAATACATAAAAAAGTAATGAAAAAAACCCGCCACTTGATATAGGGACTGCCACTTTAGGTTGCCCTGATGCTGAATCTAAGCAGTAATTCTATAATTGCATGAATTTGTCCAATGTTCTAACATGGATCTGAAGAGACTGCACAGCCCCCCAATATGTCTCAGCTATGAGCAGAGCTATGCCAAGCACAAGGCAAATGACGCTGCCTGTGCAGAAAGCGTGACTACTGCCAGAGCTCTGCTGCAGGAGGGCTGAGCGCTTCCGACACACCGAAGCGCAGGGCAGAGCTCAGTCAAGTTCATGTCAAAAGTGCTCCAGCTCCAGAAGCTGAACTGGCTTTACAATTATCCAGCCCTCAGCAGTCACAGCTACAAATAAATGATACATTGCTATGGAGACGAACAGAATGCTCAACCATTTTGCTTTACAGACTTAATTTAGACATCTGAAAACTGGCTTTACATGGAACTCTTTGTACTCCAGATATCTGAAAGCATTTCTGCTAATAAGTCAAAAGTAAATGCTACATAATAACCTTATGAACAAATAGCAGAGAGGAGGTATTCTGGCAGAAGGTCACTCACAGTTTGGTAATCAGCAATGCCAGGGACCAAAATCAAGGGAAGGTGCCCTTTACAAAGTGCCACAAGTCTTCTCCCTGGCTCTCCATCAAGAGCGACTTAAAGACAGAAAAAAGAATACTAATGAGCACAAGAGAACGAAGGCTCCCTGACGGCGCGACACCGGAACACGTGGTGTGAAAGCGGTACAGAAGGTGATGTCTACAATAACTAGTATTTAGAAACAGCTGACTCTTCTTTACAGGAAGTAAGCCCCCGTTTATTATTCCTAAAAGTGGCCCTTGCAGATAATAAGAGAGCCACAAGGGCTCTCTCTAAGTCTGATGTTCTTTTTTTTTCTTCTCTATTTAGGGCAGGGTCTACAGGGTCTCACTATGTAGATCGGACTCGTAGTGATCCTCCTGCTTGCAGCCTCCCAGGTGCTGGGAGTACAGGGGCGCCGCCACACCCAGCCTCAATCGCAGTCTCAGCGGGCCCCGGGGGTGAGGCCGGCACGGCACACTGGGGACGGAACCTGGCAGCTGTGCTCTGCCTGAGCAGGCACTTTAGTCCACTGAGTGTTCTTTTTAAAGATTACAAATTTCCACATAAGTTGGTCTCCAATAAACAACACAGCCCATGAAACTGTGCTCTCCTTTCCCACACAAACTCTCAGGCTACAGGAGCCATCACAGGGCAAGCCAGAAGGCTTGAATACACAATGGAGAGCGAGGAAGATTCATGGGCAGGAGAACCCTTGTGGTCATTCAGTCCTTGAATAAGGCCGATCCAGGTCTTAGAAAGCTTTATCTGTCATATTCAGACTCAGCATGTCATCTGGAAACCCTGCTGCTCTCGTCACTTTTAGCCAATTGTTAGTTACAATCGACAACCATCAAGTCCTAATGACTGTCAAGGTCTGTGTTAGGGCCACACAACACCGAAAGAGAAATGGGGTGCCTTCCCAGCCAGCCTGTTTATCTTCCACACTTCAGCAGTAAATGGCTAAGGAGAACTAGGGAAAAAGGAAAAGCATCATCTTTCATGCATACTACTTTCAAAGGTGACATGATTTCACTCGTGCTCCACAGCAGTTCTCTTGGGTGACTTCTCCCCTCGTGGCTACCTAAGACTTGGAGATTGGGAAACCGGTGCGTAGTCACAGGCTAACCCTTGGAGCTGGGACTCACGCTGGATCTGATTCTAAGACACCCAGTGCTCCGTGCTGCCTCCCAGCTTAAGTCCTAGGAGGGGACAGCAAGCAAGTTCCTGTCAGTTTGCTAAACATCCCTACGGTGGACACCACGGCCATGTAGGACCAAAATATCTAGTTCATTTGCCTGAACTAGATCTTTTAAAAAATTTACCTAAATGTACATAGACTACTAGTTAGACTGGAACAGATACATCCCAGAAAAAAAATACCTGACAGTATGTACCAAGTGATTAAAAAAGATTCAGCTCCATCAGCAGGCGGGAAATCTCAGGGAACATCAGCAGGGCACGTGTACACATACGTATGAGGCCAGTCACCCCAGGCTGCGACATGAGCAAAAACTTCTGGGGGAGCAACAGACAGAAGTTCAGCGTCCTTTAGTGCCCCCCGCAGGAGCCCAGGAACGAGTGCTGCCGCAAGCATGCGCCTTCTCCATGACACTCACTAGAAGTGACGATGCAGGTCCTTACGTAGAGGCATCACAACTCATTTTAAAATATAAAATTGTGGATATTATAAAAATTACAAGAAAAAGATCTGGAAAACACAAAAATGTAGCTAGACTTTTCAGTGACTTTTTAAAATATAAGGACGATTATATACACAGAAGTTAAGTTAGAAATTGCAACTACTAATTATATAAGTATACAAACTCACTTTATAGCCCATTCTATAACATGACTCAGCTATATACCTGGATATATTTAGAACATCGGTATTAAACACATTTGACAGAAGAAACTTTCTCATTAAACTTTTGTCACCTAGCTAAAAGGAGCACTTAATAACAGTTTCCTGAACCTAATGCATGCATGCAACTTGTTACACATTTTCTACATGATGATAAAGCATCACATGCGGTATATAATTAATGCAGAGGTCCTGGTCTAGGGAAAGCAGCACTGTCCATCCATCTTCCAGTGTTCAAAGCTTGCCTAGCCTTCCTTTCCCATGCGTGGGAATACACTGCCCCCTGCTGGAGATGCAATGCTATTTTGTTCCATAGTGTGTTCCTTACTCATTGCCACGCATACAAGACAGTGGGGATCCTTGCAAGAAAAGCCAAAATTTCCTGTGCTTAAAAAAATACAAACCTCAAAGGAAGGGAAAAGAGTGTACATATTTAAGAAATCTCGGGGCTGGGGAGATAGCTCAGTAGAATAAGCGCTTGCCTGGCAAGCACAAGGGCCTGAGTTCAATCCCTGGTTCCACCAAAAAAAAAAAAAAAAAAAAAAAAAAGTCTCTCTGCACCTAGGCTGTCACGGGCCAGCCATGATTATCACAAAGACCTGGTAAACATGTCGTTCCCCCCTCAGTGACACAGCTCAACTCACATCAAGCTGCACCAAGCAGAAGACTCTCTGGGCTCCCTTCGTGCTCCTGCAGCTGGGACACAGTGCTTCTCGAGCTCAAGGCCTGGACCAGTGACCTCCTTCAATGCCCAGGGGCTGCTCCTGCCTAGTCCCTGTCACCAGTCCTGGGGATAACTTTGACAGGAAAGCCCTACTCCCTGCGCACTCCTCTGGGGCTACACCTGGGCGCTCCTCCTTTCTACTAACAGTGTAACTCCTCATCAGGGCATCCTGTTTTTTTCACTGTGATTCCAAAGATTATTCCCACTGTCATACCAACTGCTGAACAGGAACTGTTAATTCTGAAGTTAAACTAAATGATGGCAAATAAACATTATCAAGCTGAAATGATTCTAATTACTCAATATTTCCCCAAATAATTAATTCCTTCAGTTAAATTGGCCACCAAGCTTCACCTTACACGCATGTGGAGTCACTGCCATTATCCAGGGTAGTGCGACTGACAAGCAGCTGATTACACTGAGCTGGCCAATGCTGACCCACGCTGACCCCTGCTGTGGGACCAAAGCAGGATGAGGCTGCTGAAGTCCACAAGCACAGCTGATGACGTAGAGCCTGGGTGTGTCTCTGCTGAACTCACCTCACTAATACACACGGGGACAAATTTACACTGAGCCACATACAGTTAACAGCGTCGTCACCTCTGCCCCAACACTGGCTAACTGTAGTTTCTCTCCTCTGCACACCCCGGCCTTCCTGAGCCTGGAACACTAGGTACTCCCTCCACACTGCACTGCACTGGACTGTGAGGCATCCTTCATTGCAAAGTACAAAACTACAAAGTGCATGGCACTGTACAAACTGCCGGGGGGAACAAGAAGATGGGGGGTCTCCTCCCTTGCCCAGCACTGCAGGGGTGACCGTTCCTGTGCCGTGACCTCAGCGCTAAGCGCAGGAGAACTGCATGCTTAGGCACAGGATGAGCAGAGGCTTCCTCAGCACCACAGAACTTTCTGTACTTTTTGACTCCTACTTCTTTAGAAAAATGATTATTTTTAAAAATATATGAATCTCAGTCTTATTATTTTCAAGGCAAAATACATCACAGGACTGACAATCTATAATATAACTCTCTTCATTTCTAGAATTCCTGGCCATCTCCATCTCTACTTACACATGAAAATAAAGCAGAGAGAGGACTGTTTGACACTCTCAGAGGAGCGCTGTGGCCGTACCTTAAATATGATGACAATGGGTATGTCTTCAGACAGGGTGTTGTGTCTCAAGTAGAATCGTCCTTGTTTCACAGCCATGTTGGTTCTGCTCTTTTTCTCATGGGTAGAGCTACAGGTAAAGCCAAGCTGGTTAAAATGCATCCTCACCAAGGAGCGCACACTGGCAGCAACCATCCACCGAGGAGGCTCAGTGATCAGCAGCCATCACCGAGGTCCTTGCTAACAAGTGCTGCTCAAACCCACACGGCCTCCCCTGCCTGCTACCACCGCCACGAGCACTGAAAATACTGTAAACTTACAGAGCTTTCAGTGGTATCAACAGCCGCTTGCGGCATGCGTGCCACTGGTTCATCACCACCGCGACAAATGTAGTTACCACAGAGGGTTAGTGGGTGAATGAACCACAGCCCTTTACTTCCATTCATGCAGGCCATGTATCTATGTCAACTTTATACGCTGTTGAAGAGAAAAACCTCAAGCTGAGCCTAAGCTCTGCTGAGAAAACCATGAGGAAATCCATGTGTTTTGCATTAATAAATAAAACATTCACAGTCTTGGACTATGTTAAGCCAAAAGAAACTAAGGGTTCTCCTTCTACTGGGATCATCCTTCTATCGCTCCATCCCTTAGAAAATTCCTCATGGATTTAAAAGCATCTCCAAAGCGCCATGCACTCACAACAACGACACAACTGACCAGCCGCTGCATACTGCCCTCCGCTGCCCACCCTGCATGTGCTCATCTTCCACGCAGTAACCCTCAGAAGTGCGGTCTGCAAATCTCAGGTGGGGAAATCACAAGGCAGGGCGAAGCCAAGAACGTTCCCTCCAGAGGCACAGCCCGAAAGAGCAGCTTAGGGGTTCAGTCAGGTTCTTGGCCCCAGAACCGCACAGCCATGGGTTGGCGATCTTATCTCAGTTTAAATATAGGCTACCTCTCAACAGCCAGTGATTCTGAGCCTCACTGGACAATGGAGATAACACCACTTAGCAGGCATATGGTGGCGATTAAATAAAATATGCAAAGTCCCTGGGACACTCCCGAGCACCCAGTGAGCACTCAGTAGGCAGCCATCATTGCTAGCTGCCTTGGCCAGAAACAATGTGCAAGACTCAGAGCCAATCAGTGCACCACAGGTTGTGGAGAAGCTGCACAGCACGCTTACATCTCGTCGGTGCCACCAACACTGGAGTCCTACCACTCACTATCCCTCAAGTTCTAAATCACACCTGCCCATGCTACGAATCCTCAAGTATAAAACAGCCTCTGCTCACATAAATGCAGGAAAACACATGCACATGGTCAAACATTGAAAAGGAACATGAAAAACTGAAGAACACTTTTGTATTTTTCTCTTTTAAAAGTCCTCTAATGCTATGAATACACAGAAAATCCAACTTGCATAATTCCTTGACTTGCAAAGGTGTGTCACACTGCTTCGCTGTAATCTCAGAGTCGGCACGTGGTGCTTACAGACTAGCACATGGCCGAGACCCGGAGAAACGCAGGCGCCCCTGGCCGCTGAGGATGGAGCCGCAGCACTCCCATACCTGGTCACTGAAGCTCCGACAGCTCCTTTTCTGTCTGCTTCCACAATAATCCTGTTCTTAGACAGCTGCTCCTGGATGAGAATAACTTTCTCAACTCCTTTGACAATGAAGTAGCCACCTGTCCAAAGAAAACAAGACAATCTCACCACCTCATCTTGGCCAGCGTGGCCAAGGGCAGCCGGGTGCTCTGATCGGGCTACCCCCCAACACCGCGCCACCAGGGACCAGAAAGCTGGAAGGGCTGCTGCGACCATGCTGACTGGGAAAGTGAGCCTTGCCACGCAGGACACAATGTATCTCACCTTCACCTCCCACCCCCTTCTAATACAGTCGGTGAAAAAGAAGGAACATGTTACATAACCGAGTCTTCCGATCTTGTCAGCACAGAGATGGCTAACAATAGCTGACAAACTAAAACTGGATCTGTTTTCTAACAGATCGGTAATAATAGGCTTCATTTACGTCTCCAAAAGAATATTTTATATTCAATAAAACATATGCATTTTTTGCAGTTCAAAGAGATTTCATTTTATATATCAAATATACTAAAAAAATAGTCATGTATTTGATTCATGAAATACTGTGTTAAGTCTAGTAAACTTCTTTAACTTCTTCCCAAAATCTTCTAAGATTCTACATCAATGCAACCCTATGGAAACTAGGTTAAAATGAGAACTTAGAGTAAATCAATGTGAAATACAAGTTAAGGCATAAAGATAAATTTTAAATTCTAAATTTTGAACTTTACAAAAGAAATTGCCTAGAAATATAAAAATATATTTTTAAAAAACTTAAACAATAAAGCTTTTGTTTTCTCCCCTTTTACTGCATCCAAAACAGCTTGAAAGTAAGGTACTAGAATCTTCTCAGGCCATCTGAACAGTAACTTTTTGTGACTATTCCTGAATTTTTAAAAACTTATTATTATTATTATCATCCTCCGGTTCTTTGAGACAGGGTCTCATGTAGCTCAGCTACCCTTGACTTCATTATGTAGCCCCGGCCGGCCTCAAGCTTGGGCACTCTTCCTGCCTTAGCCTCCCAAATGCTAGGCGCATAGGCGTTTGCTACCATGCCCAGTTGCTCCTCAATTTTAAACATATAAAAAGAAAATATTGAGGAAAGGGAGGAAAATACCAACAAAATATAGCAATAAATCCGAAATTGAGGTATTAAAATTTTAAAACTAAAAAGAAACATTTTTAGAAATAGACTAACAGTATATATTTGGGGGCAAACTTTTGATGTTTTATGAAGGTAATTTTATCAAATTCATCATAAAACAGAAAATCTGGCATTGTCTTGAGGAGAACAAAATAATAGCAACAGCAGAACTAAAGCAAAGGTAGAGAGATGGAAGTGCTGCACAACCAAGACACTGCACAAACCTGGGTCTAAGGGACACTCATTCAGCTTGGCAAATTCTGCTGGAGTCTTCCCAGTGAGAACACAGTTGGAACTTCGGAGCATTATGGGCATTCTGTTTACAAGAGAACACAACGTAGAGATTGTCACTGGCCAAAGCTGCACGGCATCCCGCATGCGCACACCACTGAGGTCGGCATTTCTGTGCAGCAGGCAGAGACGCAGAGCACAGGACGAAGAGCAGGATACACAGGGACACAGCCCCTCCAGGACAGACGCCTGGCTCTCACACACGCGGCCACCTGCTGGAAGGGTCAGCAACTGCTGGCTCAGAGTTACTTGGAAACAGCACAGTGAATCAAAGTACATGAACAAGGCAAAAATGGGGAAAAAAATTAAAATGCCCAGCACTTTTAAAGCCTTAATTTTACAGTCTTGGAACAGATTGAATAAAAATAGGTTAGACACAGTAGGATACAGAACTATTGAACTGGAAAGAGATTGGAAAAAATTATCAAGAATGCATCACTGTGGGGACCCAGGAGATAGCTCAGTGATCTAATCATTTGCGTGGCAACCTCAAAGATCCACGTTCGATCCCCAGCACCATATGCCATGCTGGCCATGGAAGCCAGGCATGTGGTGCACGCCTGTAATCCCAGTGCTAGCTAGGAAAACTGAGACAGGAGGATCACTAGGAGTCTCAGCTGTGTAGTGAGACCCTGTACCAAATAAGTAAATCAATCTTGAGGGGAAAAAAAAATGCATCTCAGAAAGACGAAGAGCTGGAGTTGTGCAGGGAACTATGAGTGCCATGGAGCTTTGTTACACGCACGTCAGGCTTCTCCTGGCAAGAGAAGTCACAGACAAGCGCTGCAAGCCATAAGCCCTTACTCTGATGTCTATGCAAAACGAATAAAAACAAAGCAATGCCCAAATGCATCACGGCCAAGATACAGAATGTGAAAGCTGGAGGGATCTGAAACCTGGCCAGAAGAACAGGCAGGTCACTGAAAAGGAGAGGATGACCACCACTGTTACAATTAGTACGTCAGTGTGGGCTAACACACCTACCCAATGTGGGCATGCATGCTTCTGAGTCATCACTTAGAAAGAGGTCATCGTAAAGATATTTTCAGAAAGAACCAAGACGTTGCTACTAGAGACCCTCACCAAGGGAATCTCTAAAAGAATGTTAGCTCTTCTGTTTTGTTTTAGGTTTGTCTTCATTTTTATTAGTCCAGGTTTGCTCATGAAAAGACCGCATTCTTGGCAGGAGTAGGCACATTATACCCCCTCCCTTCCATCGCCTCATCCCCTTCCTGGTGCAAAAGCTCTCTCCCCTTACTTCTTGTTACCTAGCTTTTATTTGCTCTTTAATTATATTTCAGGTTTCTCGTGTGAGAGAAATCATGTGATATTTAATCTTGTGCATCTGATTTGTTTCATGTCAAATAATGGTCTCAAAGTGCATCCATCTTCCTACAAACACCTCGTTAATCTGTATGGTAGAATGGTACTCCACAGCACGTAAATACCATTTTCCGTATCCACTCATCGGGGGTTTTTTGTTTGTGTTTGAGACAGGGTCTCACTAGGTGGTCCAGGCTGGCCATGAACCTGCTTACAAAGCCCAGGCTCGCCTCACACTCAGGCTGACTCTCCTGCCTCAGTCTCCCAAGGGTTGGGATTTACACCTCAGCCAGCTTCCTCAACTGTATGGACAGTTTCCAGTTAATGACAAGCACAACTCTGTGCTGGACACTGCCAAAGCTCTTCCATGGGTGACTCATAGGATGCGTAAAGAACGCATGAAATAGGGTCCACTTCCTGCCCATCTCAGGTGAGGAAACAGATAAAGGAACTCCAGGACCTTGCTGGAGGATACAGTGCAGGCCCAGCTCCTGGCCGACCTGACTCTCACCTGCCGATGGGCAAAGCATTTCGGATGATCCTCTGGCTGCCTCGGGTGTACTCGATATCCACCGTGATGGGCGCAGAGTACGTCATATCCCTCAGGCGGCACTGAAAGAGAATTAGACAGTGACTGCCCCGGCTCTGGCCTGGCTCCACTCCATCCTCCCCAGCTATTCCAGTGCCCCTTCGGGACCTAGGACTCATCAGCCCCCATTCTCCTGGAAGAAAGCCTTCCTGTGATGATCTAGACTCCAGATAACTGCCACAGGACCCTTGGCCCCACCCAACCCTGGAATTGTGACAGTAAGTCCAACGTTGGTTCTTTTCTTGGACACCTAGAGCCTTACCAGTCAGACTGTTCCCTGGCAAATGAATCCACAGAAAGTCAACCCTGTGCCTGGACTGGTTGTTCAGAAAAGTTTAGCAGAGTAATAACTGAGCACAAATGCATGCCACACCTGTTTCATTCTATAAACACACTGTGTACAAAGCACGCATCTCACCAGGACACGGCCTATCCCCACACTCCCCCGCTCAGAGGCTGCCTATCCCAACATCCCCCAGTCTGCCTCAGTACCCCACACATATCAACCTTCAGACCTTCTCCCTCTACGCTTTCAAGCTTACAACCCTTGGTGTTCATTCTATATTTTTTATCTCTTCACAGGTGTACAGGGGTTCTTGAGGAGGGATATTGTGTCTCGTATCTTGTTTCAATGTTAGGACACAAAATATTTGATATACACTGGTTGTCTAGATAAAATCAGCAACCGCAAACATACTAATGAAAGTAAAAGTTTACCATATGAACTGTCTGCTCACTTGATCCCATTCCCTGATTATTTAGACAACAGCCACAGTGCTGGACACCTTACTAATTGCCATTTCAGTTTTACCTGAACTTCACACACCAGATAAATCTATAAAATTCTCATTCTTTCTTGAATCAGTTCCCCATGATGAATGCTAAGTGAAGGAGTTTAAAGAGAAAACCAGAATCTGCTAAAAGTCAATCAAAAGCTGGCCCCGGTCCACCCCTCCGTCCACAGCTCTGTCCACCCCCTCTCCTGACACTAGCTGCGCTGAGCTCCTTGTCTGCAGTCTCCTGCACGGCTGCAGCCTGGCCGACCTTCAGAGCAAGCTGTGCATGTGACCCCACTGTGAGGCCGGTGGAGGGGAGGGGCCGCTGAGAAGTCTGGAAAGGACACGAACAAGTGTGCCTCACTGGCAATGACCGAGTGAGTGGGCAGTGCACTCACACTTCCTGATGGAGGACAGGACATGTGACGCCACGACCCAAAACACGCAGAACCAGAACATTTCGGGTTGTTTTTACATATTCTGGACTATTTGCACAGACTTTACCAGGTAAGCCACAGCGTGCTCTGCTTCGATCCTGGATTCAGAAGCTGCAATGGGTCACACAAGTGCTTGCTGATGTTTCATGTGTCTCACAAGTCCTCCTTTAGTTACTGGTTTTTAAGTACTCTCTTGAGAGTATGCATTCAAGAAGACCGAGACAAAGCAAAGCAGTGTGGCGAAGGTACGCTCCACAGTTACCTCGTGCGGGGACACTGGCCTGGTCACATTGAAGCTTTCCTCAACATCAGGAAGCCCAACATAGATGTTAAGGTATCTGAAAAGCAAAAGACATGCCATCAGCAACACTTCTTCAAAGAACACAAACAAGCCATCTTGTTCAAGTATCAGGGGATGCTGACGAACACTTACCTCACTGAGACAATGGATTAAAAATGACAGCTGGGCATCTTCTCAAAGTGACAATGTAATTTCACCAATGGGAGAAAATATTATTAAAGTATCTTTTTGAAAATACTATAAATTTCTAGAAAAATACTGGACAGATGGCTCCCTAAAAATGATAGGTTATGAAAAATTCGAAAAATTCACAGCACAAAATGGTGTGCTGTCGTTCAAGGAAGACGTAAGAAGGAAAATCAACCACAGGAGGATAAAGGAAAAATGATAGGGTGGGCAACAGGGAGGGTTGGGGACAGGGTGGGAAGGGCTAGGAGACAAGCAACAGTGTTCTGAAGGCCCTTTTTTGCACCCGTCTAACTCTTATAACAACACTATGTCACATAACGCCAAAAAATGCATGACTAAAATCAGCCAGGATGTAGGGAACCCACAATGGAGTAACAGCTCGTACTGCATCAGAGGGAAGAACAAACTGCATCAAAAGGGTGGGGACGGAAAGAGCTGGGACCCAAGTCACACCAGACAACAGAACTTTGTGTCCTGCACGGCTGAAGACAAGGGCAGAGGTGGGTCTGGTGGTGCGCAGCTGCCATCCCAGCACTCTGGGAGGCTGCGGCAGCAAGACCCCAAGCTTAGGCCTGACCTGAGTAACTTAGCAACTTAGGTAGCAGCAGGCATACCTGCATTTCCTAACTCTTGTCTGCTGAGACCCTAGAGTTCGTATTTTGGTTATTAAACACTATTTCAAAACACAAAAAGAAACCAGGGCTCCTTGGGGAAACAGCAGATTCCCAGCCTGGGCAGAGGGAATGCCAGTGGACGATCCCATCAGCCCGAGGTGAGGGGCACTGGGAGACTTGAAGAAGATGGCGCTATGGAGAGGGTGCAGGCGCCACCTGAGGGCCCCTGCATGGCCACACGCCAAGGGGATCTGAGGACAGAAGGGTGCCTGCCAGTCCTGGATTACCAGCACAAGACCAGCGAACACCCATACATCCAAGCCTCAATCCGAGAAAGGGCAGAAGGTAAGCCTGGGGAGGAATGCAGCTCCCGAGCAACTTAGCACTGCAGCTGGACGGCCACAGATCAGACCTGGCAGGCCTGCCACGGTCAGCAGAGCGGCCGGGCGGAGCCCAGAGGCACTGCACCCACCGGCACGTGTGCCGTCCTGAGCGCAAATCCCGGCACCAAGACGAAGAAGAAGAACAAAATAAAGACAGCGCAAGAACATGATGAACAAGACATGAGCGCGGTCTCAAAGAATCTCCCCATGTGGTATTCACTAATTACAGAAGAAGACACAGTAAAACACCACGGAGAAACTCGGACGATACCATCTTAATCACGTGAAGACAAAACCACCAGCGCTAACATGGACCAACGTCAGCATGAGCCCGTGAAAACCACACAAGCACACTGCTTCCGGCAGGCGTCTTGCCACAAGCACATACCCGACCGCCTCAGGAGCGGACGTCACTCACAGCAAGCGAAAGGAGCATGTGTGAGAGCTGACTGGCCTGCACGACCACGTCAGGCGGCGGGACTGGCCCAGACCAGAGACTGACGACCAGGGACAGCGGGGCAGACGGAGGGGTCCCGGGCCCTTGGACCCGTGCTAGGAGGAGCACATGGGCAGGACCGCCAAAGGAGGGCTGCAGAGAGCCGGCAGCGGTCACAGAGGCTGCTCTGGTTACGAGGACGGGCTAGCTCTCACCGGGACAGAGCGCGTGGGAGCGCTCCACAGCTCCTGCAGGTGTTCTAGCCGTCTAAAATTACTGCAAAGTAAGTCTGTTCAACACAGCTAAGACCTAATGGTTAGCCTCTCAATCACAACTGTACTTGTTACAGTTTGCCAATTAAAAGCTAAATGAGAGCATTCTATAATTACCTTATTAAGCAGATACAAGAAAATTATTTTGTCACAACTTTCAGAGCAAATCTGTCCATTCAAAAAACACTGCTGAGGGGCCGGGGCGATGGCTCAGTGGAATAAGTGCTTCCCTGGCAGGTGCAAGGGCCTGAGTTCAATCCCCCGTTCCACACACACACACACACACACACACACACACAAACACCACACTGCTGACTATAATGGGGGGCAGGGTAAGGTAAAAGCGGCAGGCCCCTTACTTCAGATACCACATCGGGTCGGCATCACTCGCAACCTTCTCGTTGGCTTTCATGATCTTCTTGATCTGCTCAGAAAGCGGGACATCAGCAAAGGGTCGCTGCTGTGCCCCGCCCGGCGCCCTGCCCGCCCGCGCTGTGCTCACCTCCACGTTGATGAAATAGTTAAACGAGTCTATGTGCTGCTTCACCAGGCCTTTCACCTACAAGGGGTGGGCGGGCGGGACAGCCGTAAGCAAGACGGCACCCATGGAGCTCACACTAACCACAGGGCTCCATCCAATTTCTCCCAAAGCCAAAGTGAAGGAAGGTCCACGAGTTCTACTTAAAACGAAACTTCACTAATGTGCCCTCCTTCCATGCCACCACTGGCACCCTCCCACCCTCAATTTCTCCGGGGCATCTGACCTTTGGAATTTAACATACTAGGATCTGAATATACCCACAGGCTCTACAATAAGCTAATAAATCCAATTACAAAAACACAACAGCTGGGTGCGGTGGCCTGGGTCTGTGATCTCAGCACTCAGAGGCTGAGGCGGGAGGGTCATGAGTTGAAGGGTAGCCTGGACTGCACAGCAAGACCTGGTCTCAAAATACCCCCCCCCCAAAAAAATAAATAAATAATAAATAAAGCAATTCGGCATCAGCTCTTCAACCCCTTGCTCTTTTATACCGGCCCCAGCACTAAACCCCAGCAGACCAGACCAAATAGAAAAGAGGTACTTCTGCCAGGCAACAGGAACATACTGGATAAATGGACCGCATTTAAGGTCCACTCATAGTCCACTTTCATCAGCAGGGTTTCACTTTGAGGTTCTTACAAATCCTGCTGGACTGGGGCAGCGGCTCAGGGGTAGAGCCCTGGCCTGGCATGCAGGAGGCCCTGGTTTCCTTCACCAGCTCATGGGGAAGGGAAGAAGCAAAGGAAGGGGAGGAAAGATGGGACAGGTGGAAACAGAAGAACAGGGGACAAGTGGCACTGCTGTGAACATGCTGCCCAGGTTATGCCCAAGCAGTATCACCTCCCTAGGGCGACACCTAGAGCCGCCCCTAAGTCACCTGCGTCTAACCATGTGGGGAGCCACAGGCTGTGCCACACTCTCCCAGCAGGGAATAGGGTCCTATACCCCCACACCCTAGCCCACCCTGAAAGGCACACGGTGGGTCCCAAGAGGTCTCTCCACCTGGCACAAAGTCTCTCCTGCCTGTCGCATCAGACTCCGGGCCCCGGCAGCCCAGGCTGCAACCCGCACGCTGGAGCTCCACTGTCCTCAGGCTGAGCTATGTGCACAGCACTCTCTCTAAATGGCTACCATTCCCATTGGCCCCTTGTGAGCAGGGATTTCCTCCTGTAGTTCCTTGGCTGCCCAAACCCAGCAAAGTACACAATCCTAAGAAGTTAGCTAGTGACAAAAACTCAATCTTACAAAATCTGTTGATTTTTATCATGAAAAATGAGTAATTATTGAATGTTCAGCACTTACCTTTAAAAATGCTGGCAGCAGCCTCCATTTTTCCTGTGAATCAACAATAAAAATATCAGAACTCTGTGTCACCAATGACAATACCTTACGAGGAGTTATATTTGTGCATCAAAAATGACTGCATCAGAGGGTCAGAGAGGTAGCTCAGCAGACTAAGCGCCGGCTTAGGCAAGAACAGGACTGGCGTTCGATCCCCAGTACCACATGCCACCCTGGCCCTGCCCTCAGGCCCAAAGAGCTGGCCACTGAGACCAGGCATAGTGGTGCACTGTGGTACACGCCTGTAATCCCAGCACTGGGGAGGCTGAAAACAAAAGGATCACTACGAGTCTGAGCTGTGTAGTGAGACCCTGTACCAAACACATTAAAAAAGAACAACAACTGCCTCACAGCGAACAGAACAAAGTGAAGTAAAAAAAGAACTGGAAACTAATCGCTTCTATGGAGATCACATACATATGCACATGAGGAAACGTATGTGGACACAAAGTTACATCACAATCTTCCTGGTGACGCCAGTCTGTGTGCAGCTGCAGGTCCCAGGCAGGGGCAGCATGGGGGAGGAGCTGGGAGAGTCAAGCCACACACACACACACACACGGTCTGGCATGTGGTCATGAGGGGCCAGGCTGTAAGGCTCGGGAGCTCAGCGCTGGGTGGTAAAGAAGGCCATGTGAGGGTGAGGACTGAGGTCACCTAAGGAGCACCGAGGGCATCTAGGAGCATAAGGGACACTGAGGATGCCCAGAGGAGGCAACAAGAGCTTCAAGAAGTAATCAAGCAAACCAATCTAGTATGGCTGAAATCAAACGGGTCAGGGTGGAGAGATAACTGAAAGGGTCATATAAGCAGCTGGGTGTGGTGGCCCACACCTGTAATCCCAGCACTCAGGAGGCTGAGGCAGAAGCACCATGAGACCATAGTAGCATGGGTCACAAAGTGAGGTCAAGACCAGCCTGAACTGCATACTAACACCCTGGTGCGTGGGGGGTCACCTGGTGATGGAGTCGGAATCAATGCACAGCAGGGGATGGCTACTTGGGTAGGTGCATATGCTTATGTATGCCTGGAGACTTGGAACTCATCACTTCTGACCCCTCCTAACGCCCATAGGTTACCGTGAACTACAGTCTCCCCACTGTGCTGTCAAGAGTAGAAGCTGTTCCTCCTGTCTTTGCTGTTTGTTCCTTCAGTGATCTCAGAGATGGGCCCCAGGGCCCAGGACTGAGCTACTTTGGTTTGGCCACAGGCAGCGCTGGGGATTGAGCCCAGGCCCCACACTCACTAGGAAAATGCTCTATAGCGCTGGTTCCATGGCTGGTGCCCAGGTTTGGGCATCCTTACCCCACCTCCTCTGCCACACCACTGTCTTTGGTCTGTAATCTGCTGCACTTTCCCGTGTGCACACACGTGACGGAGAACAGGCTGTAGTTCTCCTTTGGGTCTGGCTGGCTCACTCACAAGGTCTGACTACTCTCCGTCAGCAGGAACTCAGGTGGGTCAGGCAGGGGCCTTTGGTCCAGCCTGGCTGCCGCTCTCCCCGGCCCTTGGATCAATTGCCTGGACCCTGCTGCAGGTCCTCCCAGTCTCCCCGTCTGTCTCCTACACACATCCAACATGCTCTACCTGGCAACCTCTCAGCAGCCCCAAGACCATGGCCATGGCCCACAGTGGACCCAGGAAACCCCTGGACACTTGCCTGCCACTCCTCCATGCAGCGCCATCTTCTACAACCCCCCTCAGCCCAGTGCCTCCCCACCCGTGCAGCTAACTCCAGTCTACCCACAGTACCCATGGTACAGCCCCACTTGCTCACAGGTCTCTCCTGCAGCCTTCTCACTGAGGCAGAAAAACAAGATCTGCACAACCCCATGAGCAGCAAGGTGTAGAGACCCATGCTAGTAATCCCAGCACTTGGGAGGCTGAGGCCAGAGGACTAAAAGTTTGAGCCAGCTGAGCTACTTAGTAACTAAGAGAAAAAAAAGCCTCAAAATAAAAAATTTAAAAGGGTTGGAGGTGTGGTTCAATGGGAAGGTCCTGGGTTCAATCCTCAGTGTTGTCAGAAAGAAAGAAAACTGTAACCGATATACCAAAATAATATCAGTAACTATTTGTTTAATAAATAAATGCTTAAATGGCCCCCAAACTTGTTATTTCTCCTGCCAAGCTGCCTTGCTGACACAAGAAAAACCACTCCAGGGATGATTTGTTCAAATAAAACTGAGCTTTTTAAATTTTTTAATGAAATTTTAGTACAAGGTGTACGGGATTTCATGACACAGATCAGACTCCTAGTGATCCCCGTTTACCTCCTCCCAAGCGCTGGGATTACAGGCGCACACCACCACGCCCAGTCTCAATCGCCATTAATCCACTGAGCTATCTGACCAGCCCTAAGCTGAGCTCTTATCCCGAAAAAGTTAGACAAAACACTGAAATTGGAAAGGTAAGGTAAACCAACATTTTAATCTCTTACTTAAAAGAAATGACTTTTTTTTTCAGAGAAAACGCAAGAGTGCTAAGAAATTTCTCTAGTATAGTACTGTTCAGATTAATCTGTTGGTTCAACAGTGAAATTATAGTGTTTATTTCACAAAAATAAAAATGCAAAGCAAACACTCGGCTAAGAAAGATAAGCTGGACGTGGTGGTTTGCGCCCATGACCCCAGCACCAGGGAGGCTGGAGAGAGATCTCTTGCAAGTTCAAGGCCAGGCGTGGCTGCTTAGTAAGTTCAAGGCTGGCAACACAAAAAAGAACTGAGGGCAAATAGAGAGTAAGACAGCAGAAAAGAAGTAGCTACCGGTGTTAAGGGACAAGACAGCCAAGCATGGTATCAACCCTTGCTACTTAGGGGGCTGAGGCTGGAGGACTACAAATTCAAGACCAGCCTGGGCAAGTTGGTGAGACCCTGCTTCAAAATTTCAAAATGAGCCAGGGATATAACTCAGTGGTAGAGCATTCACCTGGCATGTGCAAGGTCGTGGGACCACTCACCAGTACCACAAAAACAATAACGGGGTAAAGGATACTACGGCAGCAGGTAGCAAGGAGATCTACGGCTCTCAGGAAAAGCCGGAAAGGCCTCCCTAAAGAAGTCCTATCATAGCTGTGTAGAATTTGCTCTACAAAGACGAATGAAAGGGAAGTCCAGAAGAACCTGTGTGCACAGAGTAGAAAAATCTCAAGGCAAGGAAGAGGCTGGAACGTGCACAGGGGCCAGACGGGGACAAGCAAGGGCTTTTGTTATCCTATGAGCAGCAGGCGGAGATCAGCAGGTCTGCACAGAGCACCACCGCTGTCTTCCTGTCTAGGGTGGTGGCTTTGGGCACAGCACAGAGGGGGGCTGCAGCGGTACAGTGAGCGCCAGGTGACCCAGGAGATCGCTGAGCGAGCACAGGCTGAGAGGAGCAGGCAGAAATTCCAGACCTGTGTGTATTTCGAAGGCCGGACACCTAGCGCGGATGCAGAGGGCCAGAAAAGGAACTCTCTTCTGAACCAGAACTGTGTGGTTCTACTCCGCATAGCTATGTGAGTTCAGACAGGAAGTGTCCACCAGCTAGGTTTGGCTCTTCAGCTATGTGGAAAAACAGCGTGGCCAGTAGTTGTGTGTGGAGACTGGGGGCGTCTGCCTGCCAAACCCAGACTCTGGATGTGCCATTCATCAGCCTTTTAGCACTGGGCTAGTTAATCTCACAAACTCTCTGGCCAAAGGAAAGTAAGAGTATTTATTTCAAAAGATTAAATAACAAAATGCAGACTGCCCAGACAGACCAGTGGATTAAAGTGCCACTTAGGCAGCCACAGGGACCAAGGTTCTATCTCCGCAGTGCCGAGCCACCCCCCCCCCCCCGGGAGTCCACTGAGAAGCCACTGAGACTGGGTATGGTGGCATATGCCTGTAATTCCAGTGCTTGGGAGGCTGAAAACAGGAGGATCACTATCAGTCTAATCTACATAGGGAGACCCTGTAGACCCTGTACTACCTAAAAATAAATAAATAAAGAAATGTATGTTATGGCTAAATACAACCCAGCGGACAGTAGGTGTTTAACAATACTAACCCTGGATAGTAGCCTTCAAAGTTACAGCCCAGCACTGCCTGGGAGGATCAGCTGGGCCCTGCTGTGAGCTGGCTTAACCTATTTCATTTCTGTACCAAGATTCATAACCTCCTTGTCTTGTAAGCCTTATCTTTTCTGTAAACTCACACCTGTGCCAGACCATAAATTGTAACTGTTCGCCCTAATTAAAAGATGTTCCTCAGCTTCCCAGAAATAGATTAGACTATAACTAGATGCCTTTCCTGAGTACGGGAGCAAGGACTAAACCACCTTGAAAAAAATCCCCTTTTCCTCCCCCAACCCTGCGGTTTTTCACCTTGAAGGTTGTGCTTTGTTTCAACTCGGCGCATTCTCCTTAGTTTCTCTGGGGGAGTGCTGCCGCTGAGCTCAGCTAATACAGCGCTCCAAATTCTTACTTCGGTTTTGGGGTCTACTGTCAGCCCTGCAGCTGCTGATTACCTTCACGAGGTTGCCAAAGGCTCAGAAGAAGGTTTTCATAATCCAGTCGCTAAACAACTCTCCCTCACTTAACCCTCTCAAAAGCCTCTCAACGCACACAGGGAAAAAGCCCAAATCCCTACAGATGTGTAACAAGTTCATAAGCAAGACCTTCACCTATCTTGCATCTTTCCTCCCCTCACTAGGGCTACCCAGAGTGCTTCGGCGCCTCCGGAGCAGCAGACGGCCGCACAGCGGGGTTTCAATACCCCGTTTCTTCCTCCTGATGTGCTCAAGCCCCTTCCCGGGGTTCCCACTCCACGCCAACGCTGATTCCCAGGCTCAGAAGACCTGCGTCTTTCCAGAAAAGACAGCAGCACTGCCCCGCGCTGGGCAGCTTACGGGGGGTAGTTACCCTAATTTCTGAGAGTCTGGTGAAGTGATGGGGAGGCTCCGCCGAAAGACAGGGAAGTTTAGGGGTAAACACGCAGGGCGTGCCAAACGCGCCAGCAGCGACTCCGGGTTAAAAGGGGCGACAGCTGGCCTGGGGTTGAAGCCATGCGGCTTCCATGCGGCTTCGCCCCACACCCCGCCTGGGGCTTAAGTGGCTCGAACTCCCTGGACCTCGGGGTCCTCTAAGGTCACCGGGCCCAGGGTGAGTGCGACGGGCGGGACACCGAGAAAAAGGGCGCCACCCGCCCCGCATCTGCTGACAGCTTCTCCCGGGCCCTTCCACGCGCACGCGGGGCCCAGACCGCGACAAGGCGCACGCGCGCAGGCCCGGAGCGTGCGCGGAAGCCCTGAGCACGCGCGGAAGCCCTGCGCTCGCGGGGGAGCTCGAGCACGCGCGGAAGCCCGAGCACGCGCGGGAACCCTGAGCATGCGCAGAAGCCCTGCGCTCGCGGGGGGAGCTCGAGCACGCGCGGGAGCCCGAGCACGCGCGGGAACCCTGAGCATGCGCAGAAGCCCTGCGCTCGCGGGGGGAGCTCGAGCACGCGTAGAAAGGGCGCCCGCCCCTCCTGCCATCCACGCTCTCCGGTCAACGCCTCCTCAGACGCCCAGCGGCCCCTTCCTTCCGCTCCCGCTGCCCCGGCGCTCACCTCTACATTCGAGATCGGCGCAGCCAGCTGCTCCGGAGTCAGGGTCCCGAACTCCTCTGCTAGCACGTCCATGGCGCCCACGACCAATGAAGGAGCACACTGAACCCCCGCGCCTTCCCTCAAGGTCCAGACGAATAGCAGCGCGCCTGCAGAGCGGTGTGCGGCAGCCTAACCTGTCCCCGCCGCGCATTTGGACGGAGGCGCGACGGAAAGGTTCCGCCTACTCCCGGACCCACCTTGCGGTGGACAGGAAGTTGCAGAGTTGGGCACGTGCGCCCCCTAGCGGACAGTTTCCGGGTACTCCCAGACCCCGCCAGCCGATTTCCTGTGGGTTTCCAATCCGGGAAACCTGAGAAGCGCGGTTTTTCATAGTGCACGGAGAGCTTGCGCAATGTGAACGCACGAGGCCGAGACTCTTGAGTCAGGTCGAGAAAGTGTGGAGTGCTGAGACATCCCGAAAGCCTGTTTGTTTAAATGCGTGCACGTGCGGGATGCGGAGGCGCGCCCGTGGGATGAGGCGGGAGAGCGGCCGTGCGCAGGTCGAGGCCAGGCTGGTGGTGATGGCCCCGTGCAGACCGGCAGAGCGGGAAGGACGGCCTCCGAACAGCTCGGCTTTCCGAAGAATCGATACAAACTCGGATTAAATCCCTAGCCCGTTGGGGAATCTAGTAAATGATGCTCGGGCGGCCCGTTCTCCATCCGAAAGAGAACTGCCCGTGGACAGTTGCTGTGTGGCTGAGGAGAAGGCGCACGCCTGGAATCCCGGCCACGCGCGGCCGGCGCCGGAGGATCGCGGGCGGCAGCCCAGCCTGAGTGCTCTGGCCAGACCATGTTTCAAAACAAAAGTGTAAAAAAAAAAGTTAAAAGCGTAGGTGGGGCTGAGGTGCAGCACGACCGTAGTCCATGCCTGGTTTGTTGCGGGGTCTAGGTTCAATCCCAGTACCAGGAAAAAATTCTGTGTGGATTAAACATTTCAGGATTAATAAAATCGTAAGGACGGAGGTGAAAATAGAACATTGATTTGGTGAAGGGCGTCAAGGGTGGTAACGCAGAAATCATAAAAGATTTGATAACAGGATTCTAAGCATGGTATTATGATTCCATAGAAAGTCCATAGAAAGGCTTCTCAGCCTTTTGGCTAAGATCCAGGGTAAAAACCACCATGGATTTGTTGAATTCCTATTGCTTTGTCTAATGAAATTTTGTATTGTTTCTTTAAAAAAAAAAAAAAATTCACCATGAAAACCAGACGGTGATTGACACCTGTAGTCGTGGCTCCCGGGGGAGTCAAGGCAGGAGGGTGGCACGTTCAAAGTCAGCCTGGGCACTTTGGTAAGACTGTCCCAAATGCAAAAGGGTGAAGCCGAGTGTGGCGGCGCACAGCTGTGGTCAGGCTGCATAGTGAGTTCGAGGCCAGCCTGAAGTACATAGTGAGACCCTGTCAACATAGCAGAAAATTAAAAAGTAAAAAAGGGTAAGCCCTGGATTCACGGCTCTGTGTACCAAACTCACTGTAAGGACCTGGAGTCGAAGCATGACACCAAAACATAGAAGCACAAATACAGCTTTAAACAACACAAATTGGTAACCAGGGAAGGTGGAGCAGGCCTGCTGTAATCCCAACACTTTGGCAGGCTGAGGCGGGAGGATTGCAAATTCAAGCCCAGCCCTGGCCATCTAGTGACTTAGCAAGATTCTGTGTCAAGAAAAATCAGTAAAAAAAACTGTGTATGGCTGAGGCTGCAGCTCAGTGCAGGAGCACTGCTTTCAATTCCTAATACAGAAAAGTTGGAAAGTTGGTAGAAGACAACGGATTCATCTCCCCAGTTCAAAATGAGTTCACACAATGGAGGCACGCCCACTGGCGAAAACAAGCACACGATGCCCAGCGTTGCCTCCCGACAGAGCTCATTTCAGGAAGATGCAGGAGGTCTGGAGAGGGAGGCGATGTTGCCATGCAGCAGGGCAAATGGACTTGGTGACCCGTGTCCTCTTTATTTACCCTTTTATGAGTTTATTTTTTTGTGGGACTAGGGATTGAGCCCGGGGCCTCGGTAAGTGGCCGAGTTGCTCAGGCTGAGCTGTTTTGTGATCCCCCTGCCTCAGCCTCCCGCAAGCGCTGAGATGAGAGGCAAGGGCCACCAGTCCAAGCTTGATTTCATGGTTAAAATGGAAGCTTTGTGCTTTTATTTTACCACAATAAAAAGCTATGAAAATTCGTGGAGAGTTTTTCCTGATTGTTGATAAATGTGTCTTCTTTTGAATTAGCTAATTAAATGCTTGAGGCTTAAGGCTTGTGCCCATGGATGGCTGAAGTAGGTGCAGGAAGGAAAGCAGAAGGAAGAGCAGCCCGTCACTGAAGCCCTCCCGCTGCTCACGCGCCATGATGCGGGTGTGCGCCGCGGTACAGCCGGCACCCTGCTCGAGTCCTGCTGGCGGTCATCGCAGAGGTGCTGTGTCGGTGGCTATGGGTGCTGACTCCTGCCCGAGTCCTTGGGGCCAGCTGCCTGGCACCCCTCAGGGAGCGTGGGGACGGCTCAGCGTTTGGCGGGAGACAGGGCCCAGCGCAGCTCTGCGTCTTCGTCGATGGGCTGGGGCAGTTTCTCCTGGCTCCCAGAGCTGCAGGCCCGAGCCCAGCTCAGAGCCTGCCCAGCCTGCTGACCTGTGGTTTCGTCCTGAGCAGACCTGCTGAATCATTTGAAAGCTGCACAGCGTGGTGATGAACTGAACAGCAATCCGTATCATATTCTCTCTGCATCTTGGTTATCTTTGCTCCTACTTTCTCTGGGGACGCAGACGGCTGGCCCATCCTGAGTGCTCCCCATGGCTCTGACCACCACCGCCCATTTCCTGAAGCAGCCTGCACCCAGGCCAGGCTCAGAGCTTAGCAACACCCCAAGAGGCTGGAGTTCTGAAACCAAAAGTCAGGCACAGCCTTGTGATTGCTCTCACACACTTCCCTGGTGGCGTGAACAGAGAGGCCGATCCCAGAGGGAGGATGTGGAGGCATAACTGGGGAGGAGCCATGCAGTCATGGGTGGGCTGGGGGCGTCCGTGAGGCAGGGGTGAAGGTGGCTGTGCGGGGATGGAGGGCGTCCATGCACTGACACTCCGTAATCTGTGGTCACCGAACAACGTGTGAGCTGGCTCTCCCCGGAATGATCCGCTCCCGGGCCAGGAGGATCCCCACTTGACAGGTGAGACAGGGGACCACCCTGCCCCTGCATGCAGGACATTGGCCAGGCAGACCTGCCACAGAAACCTGCAGCCACCACGCAGGCCCTGTGCAGCTGCACTGTGGGCCACCATCATCCGAGAGTGGGGGCAGCGGATGCCCAGGGTGCGGGCTGACCGTCACCGCATCACGGGACAGCCAGGGAGCGTGGCTCTCACGAGGCACTCAGCAGGGGGCAGGTGTGCTGATGACTGACAAGCATAGCTGGGCTCCACAGGCCTTCAGAGGGTGTGTGAACAGCCAAACCTCCCTCAGCTAGCTTCAACACACAGATGCTGGAAGCAGAGGGGAAGGATTACCTCTCTTCCAAAACCCTTGGTGCATGCAGGCTGGAAGGAAGTATGGGAGCTGGGTGTGGCAACACAGGCCTGCAATCCCAGCACAGGGAGGCTGAGGCCAGCCTGGGTGACACAGTCAGACCTTGTCTCAAAAAGCCACCAAAAAGTAGAAAAAGAAAAAAAATAGGTACAATCCTAGTTCCTAGGTGTAGATAAATTGACATAGAACCAGAGAAGACCAGCATCCTGTTGAAGAGAGGATAGGAACAGGACTTTGGCCCAGACTGGTAGTGCTTGGGAGGCTGAGGCAGGAGGATCACCATGAGTTCAAAGCAGCCTGAGCTACACAGTGAGTTCAAGGCCAGCCTGCACTGCACAGCAAGATTGTCTCAAAAATAAATAAAAACAGGACCCTTCCCTCCAGAGGAAAGAACTTGAACTACCGTCACATGAGGAGGATAGACAAGAGAGGAGGGTAGACAAGAGAGACCTCTATTTTTGGTTTTGTTCTGAGGCAGCAGTCTCACTTTGCAGCCCAAACTTGTGTCACACTCACGGGACCCCCGCCTCAGCCTGAGTGCTGCAGCTACAGGGGTGCCTGCCTATATTGGGGGAGCCCCCCTTGCTACACATGCCCACCACACACGGCCCGTTTTCCTGTGAGAAGCCCAGCTTTGTGCCATGGGACTTCTACCAAACCATGAGGTCCAGCCAAGCCTCCAGCAACAGCCTGCAGGGCTGGGGACACCAGACGCGGAAGCCTCACCCACCGCTGCGGTGCGCTGACGCTGACTCATGCGATGCCAGTCACGCTCTCCTGGCAGTTTTGGTTCTCACACCCGAGAAAGACATCGCAGATGCTGGAAAGCAGCGGCCCGGCACAGGGATACCCCGACTCAGTGACCCAAGTGGCCCTACGGCGCAGATCCCCAGCCCAGGCCAGCATGTTCCTCTGCTTCAGACCTGAGTAACAGCTCTGTGATCGTGGGCAGCGCCCCACGGCCTCTCTGGTCGCCTTCTGCGCATCTAGAAATGATGCCCTGGGCACCGTTGGCTTACATATAAAGTACCTCGGGTTGTCCCTGCCATGTGGCAGCTGCTCAGTGGCTATTACTGTTCAATTATTAAGTTCCAAAAGGCAGAAATTTCTAATTCAGTGTCCTTTTATTTTTTATTTTTGGAGATGCGTCCAGGCTGGCCTTGACATGACAGCGATCCTGCTTCAGCCTACCACTTGTTGGGATCACAGGTGTGTGGCACACGCCCCGAGAGCCTCAGCCTTGTAGTACTCCTGCAGGCGCAGCTGCGGCGGGGTCCCCAGGTACCCCTTCTTCCTCAGGCATACAATAAGCCCCGGGCGCTCCCAGCCTCTCCCAGGCTCCTGTGGCCAGCCCACAGGTGCAAGCTTAAGCCTCCCTCCAAACCAGAGCGAGAGGATGCCAGCTGGTACGAGTTCCCTTTGTGCGAGTTTAGGCTAGGCCGTGCAGGACAAAGTCACCGCCGACCCCTCACTGGCATGGGACGCCGTGGTGTTTGTCACTAACCTTTGACGTTGACCTCAAGGACTGCCGCTGCTGCCTCCCTGCACCCTTGAGACTCTCTGCGGACCACAAGCTCTGTGCTTAACGAGCAGTTCCTTGGTGTGACACTTTGTTCTCCCTTGGGTGCGCACTACATCGCCACACCTCAGAATACTGAGACCCCTGAGGCTTGGAAGAGACTGAGATGTATTGGTTCTCGCCCTACACTGCAGCTGGCTCTGCCAAGCTTTTGGGTTCGCAGGGGGCTGCACAGGCTCCTCTGGGACCCCCATCAGCTGGAGGTAGTGGGTCGCTGGGAGACAGGTGAACGCCAGGTCAGGCAGAGGAGTCTGAGCCAGGGAAAGCAGCACATGCCTGTAACCCCAGCATTCAGGAGGCCGAGACAGGACGATCTCTAAACATTGGAGGCCAGCTTGAGCTACATAGTTTGAGAGCATGTGAACTATGTAGTGAGACCTTCTTCCAAAACTCCCCATGAAAATCAAAAGTAAGTACTAGCGATTCCTGTGACTCTCAGGTGCACGCCACTCAATGAGTGGAAAGTTTTGAGAGAGAGAGACAGAGACAGGAGTTAACCTGTGAGACAGACACAGGGAGAGGTAAAATCGAGGGAAGCCAGGCTGTGGCGGGGCCCTGTTGTGCCTGCCACTAGCTCAGATCCCTCCCACCAGAAATGGCCAAGAGCAGGCTGCTGAGCCCAGACGCGAGGCACGGCGTGGGGCTCTTAGTGGCCACGCTGTCCCCAGAGGGGTAAAGGTTGCCAAGTCTCTGAGACAGGCTGGGCCATGAGCAGATTTCGGTTGCCACAAAGGGAAGAAGCCCACACTGAGCCCGCTTCCTAGAGGAGGAGCCCAGGGGCTTCTCGGGGCAGCTGAGGGGGCCGGGGTGCACTCCTCAGCCTCAGCCCACCACCAGCCCCCTCACAGGTTGGCCCGGGCATGGACTGAAACCTGGTCAGTGGGGCCAAGTGGATGTGCAATCGCTGTCACTGGCCAAGTGACTGGGGGACAGCAGGTGGACAGTGGGGCCTGGCCTGGTGGCCCCGCCTATGAGCCTAGCACAGGGGAAAGGGGAGACTAAGGCAGGAGGATCAAAAGCCCAGGCCCAGCCCGCGTCATTTAACAATTCAGCAAGATCCTGTCAAAACTATAATATCAGAAAAGGGCCGGGCACGCTGCCCAGGGTAGACCCTGGGTTCAGGCCCAGGCTGCAATTACTGCGATAACAGGCCGGCAGTGTGCGACTCCCTCCACGTGTTGCGGTGGGGAGCACTGCCGTAGGGGGTAGCCCCCCTCGCATTTCCTACATGCAGCTTTCATCTGCTCCTCAGCCGGCCTGAGTAGGGGACTCAGTGGGACCCTGGATGTCAGCCAGTACCATTCCTGCACACGCCCCCCATGAGATGAGCGCCAGACTGTGTCTGGCCTCCCCCAGGCCGCATGGGAATAGGACCCAGCCTCAGGCAGAGGTGATACCAGCCAGCGCCCAGCCCAGCTCCTTGAGTCCCAGTGGCCACTGACAGCCCTAGGCCACCTGGTCCTCTTCCTGGCCTCAGTGCCAAGTCCCCGTTTTTTGCCTAGGCCCCAATTCCCGTGTGTGTGCGTGTTTACACACACAGGAACACACTGCGGCACGCCACACTGCCTGGAAGAGTTCACTGCCAGGACAACCCCCTCGCTGCACATAAATCTGCTCATGGCCTCTCTCGTCTCAGAGACCTTGGGCCTGTTACCCCTCCTGGGAATGGCGTGACCCCCAAACACCGCATGCCTGGCTCGGCAGCCCAGTGTCGTGGTGCCCCCGTTCTGGCTGCTGGGTTGCCCCTTCTTGGCTCTTGACCAGTTCCTGTTTTAGGAATACTTTAAACCCTTCATGTTTCAGCCCAGGAGGTGCCTTCCCCAAGAAGTCATCTGATGATTTCTCCCCCAGCACCACTCCTACTTGCTTTGTAATGGTTATTCCAGTTTGCTGTCACCATTCACAGTCTTGTCCCTTTTCCAAGGTCATAAACTCAAGGGCAGTGTGTCTCTGACCATCTGTGTGCCTCAGCTGGGGGACTTCTTGGCCCACAGGAGGTGCTGATAGGTGAGGTCAGCTGGATACCTGTGAGAATGCCTGAGCAAGGGGGCGTGGTGCGAGGTCTGAAAGGCTCCAGTGGCGGGCCTAAGAACATTCTAGAACACGGAGGGGACTGCGGTACACACTACACGTTTGCCATCACTGTTCTAGAATGACCACAACAAACATTCACTATGCCGCCCCTAAGTTACTAAAAGGTTAGGAAACAGATACCGGCTATCTTGAAATATTTTTTAATGTTTTAAATTTTAGTGCACACAATACATGTTTTAACCAGAAGACAAAAATGTGTAGATGGCATTTAATAAAGTTCACAAAAATGACCACCTCAGGAAACATCCAAAGTAGAAGTCAAAGAAAGAACGAAATAAACAATGTGTTAAGGACATGATTTAAAAATCCTCATAAATGTAGTTTCCTAAATCCAGACTTGAGACAAATTTATTCTGCCACTTAAAAAAAAAAATCAGAATGCCCTTTATTTTAAACACACTTTAAAAAAAAAAAAAAACTGGGCTGGGGATATAGCTCAGCCACACAGCACCTGCCTGGCAGGGTAGAGGTCCTGAGTTCGAATCCCAGTACAAAAAATAAAATAGAAACAGTTCGCACAGTTTTCCTGCAGGCAACTGCAGTACAATCAAGTACATCAATGAGTAACTGGATTCTGAGCTGACAACAAAAGTCTACACCAACTGCAAAGCACACAGCGCACCTCCGACAGCGACATCAGAAGACCACGCACCTGTGCCTCACCTGGCGACCGGATGTCCCCACCTGTGCCCCAAGGACGCACCCTGAGCCAGCTGGGTTGTGGGGCAGGAAACAGATGCCTTCAGCACAGGCTGTGTGACACTGAAGCCCAGACGGGGCCACAGGAGGGGACGAGGTGGGCACGCTGGTGACGTGTTTTTCAGTGAACCCGCACAGCTGCTCCGAGGACAGAGCGGCTGCCCTAGGTACGGAGCATTTGGATGCGGGGATTGAAATTCATGATTCCCCAACACTTGGCAGTCCTCCAAACTGTGAAGATGAGAATTTGCTGCCTGAAGCAATGAGTTAGCACCGTGGTGGAGGGAGAAGAAAACCTCGTGGGTGCGTGTCAATTCCTAGCCACGCTTCTCCACCTAAGGACTGGCGGTCCCCACGCCTGGGAAACAAACAGGCCCACATGCATTTTATGCAGCTAGAGCACTTTCTAGATGGAGGGGCACCAAACTAGGATTCAGCACTCAAGAGGCCAAGCGAAGAGTCCTCGGACAAGAGCGGCACAGCCAGTGCAGGTCAGGCTTCGCATCCGTCCGCTGGCCAGTCAGGTTACGTGGCTAGGGTACCCAAGGTGGGTTGGTTTTTTTCCTATGTTTCGTTATCTTTCTTGTTGTTGTTGTTATGTGTGTGTCTGGGTTTGTAGTACAGGCTGGCCTTGAACTCACTATGTAGCCCACCTTGGCTTCAGACTTGTAACAATCCTCCTGCCTCAGCCTCCAAAATGCTGGGTCCCAAGCCTGTGCCACCATGCCTGGCTTTCAACTTTCAACCTTCACGGAGTTATACTCAAGCTCAAAATCATTTGATGTGATTAGTAATAAATGAGGGGAATGACTCCTTGCAGGCTGAAAGTATAAGCCAAATACAAACGTTTAGGAAAACCTAAGCATGACATAGGCAGTAGAATTACAAATTCCTTTCTGTCTGTTAAAAATGTCTGTTTTAAACTTGAAAATGATGTGCAAGTGGACACTGTGTGGGCTGGCGCCGTCCTGTGCCCCTGCCGGGGACACAGCACACAGGCTGCCGCCCGCAGCGGGCGTACGGAGACCCCAGGAGCCTGCAACGCCGCCGGGACAGAGGCGCTGAGTCCTGTTCAGGGGCCCGGGAGCGAGGCGCGCACCCCCTGGCCGGCCCCCACCCCGGACAGCAGCTTGCGTAGGATGTTTGCATAGAACGGCCCGTACACCTGCGTGTTGAGGCTCACGATGGTCGCGTACTGAGTCCCCAGCGCTTCCAGCTCCTGCTGAATGACAGCCAGGCCGCCCGGGATGGGGGGCATGGACTTGGGCGGGGCCGGAAGGCAAAGGAGGCTTCTCATGTAGAGCCGGATCCGTTTATCTGAAAGAAAAGGATTAAAATACATAATGTCTCAAAACAAGCCCGGGGATGTAGCGCAGCAGCACAGCACCTACCTGGCAAGCCCAAGGTCCTGAGTTCCAGTCCTAGTACCAAGTCCCCCTCCCAAAATACCAGAACAAGTCATTAGGGTGAGCCGACTTGGTCAATGCTCAAGTTCCTGGCTGCTATCGCTCCTGTCCTCCCTCTCGGCCCACCTCCGCTGCACTTGCTGGGGAGGATGCTGAGAACGAAGGGAGACAAGGTCTTCCAGCTGACCAGGGCCCAGTCCACTTGCTGCCAGTTAACTCCCACATGCCCACAAGAGCCAGGGCAGGATGCACAGGGCCACGGCTATGGTCCGTGGCTGGGTGCTGCCCGAGCCTGGTGCAGTCACTGGGCAGCTTCTAGAGTTTCTGATTAATTCATGACCAGTGCTGGGATTGCGGGTGTGAGTGCTGCAGCCACCCTGCGGCGGATGGCCTGAAGCAGCATAAGGGAGGGAGAGGCTGGCTAGCTGCGGCAGCTGCTGCCCCTCCCTTTGCTCTTTGCCATTTTCCACTGCCATAAACGGCTGCTCCCTGCTATGTGCCGCTCTGCCTTGGAGTCAGCTGAATATGGACTGAAACCTCCACTAACTGTGAGCTAAATACACCTTTCCTCCCTCAATTCTGGGCGTCAGGTATTTTGTCCCAGCAACAAGAGAAAAGTAACTGAGACAACCACTGACCCAAACCCCCGCTGACCACCAGTGCAAGACAAAGCCCACCAACACCACCAAACTTCCCAACTGCACTCACAGGCTTGAGAGGAGCACTAGAGAATTTGTTTTTAAGCTCATTTAAAAAAAATCAGAGAACTTCAGATAGAAATCCATGTTTTGGTTCTTTATAAGAAACCTGGAGAACTGGCAAAGTCAAGGGGTGGGTCCAAACCACGGGGCAAGGCAGCCACACAGCCAGGCCTTCCCATGGTCACAGATCCCACCTGCTGTTCTGCCATCTTTTCTTGTCTTTGAAACAGTCTCTCTATGCAGTTTAGGTTGGCCTTGAGCTCACTTTGTAGTCCAGGCTGGTCTTGAGCTTGGAACAACCCTCCTGCCTCAGCCTCCTGAGTGTTGGAATTACAGGTGTGCATCACCATACTGGGTCTTCTGCCATCAGTTTTATTTTTTATTTTTATTTTTTTGTTATTGTTATTTGTTTTGTTTGTATTTAGTACAGGGTCTGTAGAGTTTCACTACACAGGTCAGACTCATAGTGATCCTCCTGTTTTCAGCCTCCCAAGTACTGGGATTACAGGTGTGCCACCATACCCAGTCTCGGTCACCATCTCAGTTCACCCCAGGGGTGGGGCTGGCAGGCACACTGGGGATCAAACCCTCGTCCCTGCCCCTGCCTAAGCAGGCACTTCAGTCTGCTGAGCTATCTGGCTGGCCCTTGCCATCAGTTTTAAAAAGCACCCTCTTGCTGGGGCAGTCAACGGCCCAGCCCCCTGCACAGGGCCACCCTTCAGCCAGGGTGGCCACACTCCAGCACACGGGCGCTCCCATCAGGCTGCTGTGGGGCAGGATGTGCGTGTCAGACAAACCTGGCGGCTGCTCACCGGCCCCAGGTCTCTCTGTGGCTCTGGAAACAGAATCCTCACACATAACAGCTGTCTGTGAAGCGCACACAGCTGCCACCGCAGACGAGGCGTGTGGAGGATATGCAGATGGTTGAATGCGTCTCCCCAAAGCCACGCGCCCACGCGTCACGCAGAGCCGCCTCCGCTCCGTGAGACATCCCGGGGCCTGATCTCCCCTCTCAGGGCTGGACGGCCTGGGCTGGAGCTAAAACACCTCCCATCTGTGGTTCTGGTTCCGCGGCACCCACGAGCAGACCAGCTCGCCCCAGCCCCCCCATTTAGACCGTGAGCTCTCTGAGGGCGAGGGCTCTGTCTTGCCGTCTCCACACCCCTGGCCTGGCATGAGGTAGGCACACCACAGATGCAGCCGAGTCTCAGGAAGGAAAATGGCTCAGGACGAGAAGTACAGAAGAGAAAAAAGGGGGCCAGGGAGGACGGGACTGGAGGAGACCCCACAGACAGCCTCGGCCTCAGCTGGGAGCTCTCAATAAGAAACGAGTTGTGGCACCAGGACTGTCGAAAACTAGTTCTTAGAAGTGGGAAAAGCAGCAAAGCATGGTGGTGCACACCTGTAATCCCAGCACTCGGGAGGCTGAGGCAGGGGGATCGCTGTGAGTGGAGACCAGCCTGCGTTACAAGGTGAGCTCAAGGCTAGGCTGCACCACATATGAGACTCCAGCTCAAAAAAAGGGGGGAGCATTCAAGTAATCTATGCGGCACGTCACCCCTAAGCAATTTTTATCTGGATCTTGTATGCATGTGGGAAAAATTGGAGTGAAAGAAATCTTTTCTAATTATCTCCTTTTGTTTTTTGAGGTAGAGCCTATTAGTTTAAGCTAGCTTGAGCTCACTGTGTAACCCAGCTCTAATAATTTTTTCAAAATGGGGAGATGGCTCAGTGGAACAAGCGCTTCCCTGGCAAGTGCAGGGGGCTGAGTTCAATCCCTGGTTCCGCAAAAAAAAAAAAAGATCACAATGGTGATGAGTGGGCTGGTCGAGGGCTCTCCTTGCTAAGTAAATAGCACATCGAGCCTGGGGTGGTGGCGCATACCTGTAATCTAGCACTGGGAGGCTGAGGCAGGCAGACTGCAGCAAGTTCAAAGCCAGTGTGGGCTACAAAGTGAGTTCAAGGCCAGTCTGAACTGTATAGTGAGATGCTATCTCAAAAAAGACCAAAAACCAAAAAGAACACTCTCACTGTGCCAACCATGCCAACAGCGCGCCCTTCCTGCTCTCTGTAGGTGCCAGGCCAGCTGGGGTGAAGAGCACTGCCCTGCCCAGGGTCCCCAGGTGACTGGCAGGTGGCGTCACTTGCTTCCCAAGGGCCGCTGGCTGAGGAGCCAAAGAGCAGGCACGGGATGACCCTGCCCACCCCGGGAGGGAGCGGAAGCCCAGACCTCAGGAGTGTGAACGTTCACTCCTGCTGCTCACAAGTGGCCTCCAAAAGCAGGCGCAGGCCGAGCCTGTTACCCGAACGCCTGGGGTCGAAAGTGTTTCCAGCTGTAGGGGCTTTTAGTGACCGTTCATATGAGCTTTACCAGTGGCGCATCGGAAAAGCTGAAAAGCTGAACTCCAAAATGCTCCACCGCCTGCTGTTTGGTCACGTGTTTAAGGCTGCGCTGTAATGCACACCGAACGTTAGTTATAAAGCCAGCAAGTTAAAGCAAGCTGGAATCCAAGCAGACGCCTACAGGCAACGCGGACTCACCGACCAAGGACCGGATAGGATTGTTCTCATCCCTGAGGCTGGCGAGCTGGCCTACGAGGTTAGCCTGAGCCTCCGCACCCAACGCAGGGAAGCTTCTCTCCGCCAGAGCCTTGTTCACCTCAGCACAAGTCTGGCCGCCGATGGAACTCAGCGCCTCCTGCAGGTCAAAAGTCCTACAAGAGAGCACAAGGAGGCCATTAGAAATGGGTCTTGGGGTTTGATCGCTTTTTGTTTAGCTTTTAAAGACACCAACTTGCCAGGCGTGGTGGCACACGCCTGTCATCCCAGCACTCAGGAGGCTGAGGCAGACTGTCATGAGTTCGAGACCTCTCTGGGCTACAAAGTGGGCTGAAGGCCAGCCCAAATGGCACAGTGAGACCCTACCTCAAAAAGACAAAAAAATAAAGATACCAGCTTGCTTGGGATAGCAAACTCCTTTCTCTTCTACCAACAATAATTACTGCTGTTAGAATAAATTTAGAAAATAGTAACTTCCCAAGCACCAGGTGTCACATGGAACAGAATTTAGACTCCTAAAACCACACAACAGGGCAGGCCTGAGCATAAGGACTCGGCCCTTAAAAACAAGCCTGCAAGCTCTGTGCAGGGGCAGTACCGTAGCCAATGAGGCTTACCCAAGGTTTGATTATTGCTAATTGAAAACAAGTCTGTGACCCCACCAACATGCGGGTTATCCGAAGTCGGGCATGGTGGCGCATGCTGTAATCCCAGCACTCGGGAGGCTGAGGGTGTGAGTTTGAGACCAGTGTGGGCTACAAAGTGAGCTCCAGGCCAGCCTGAACTGCAAACCCAACAGATGAGCATATTTAGAGATCAAAGTACCTGAAATTGACGCATCAGTGAATCTTGCTCACCCTACTTTCAAGTAACGGATGAAGGATACCAAATACACAGGACCCAGAAACACTGTGAGCCAGGCTGGTGGCACACACTTATAATCCTGGCCACCAGAAGGCTGAGACAGCAAGGTTGCTGTGAGCTCCAGGCCAGCCTGGGGTACAAAGGGGATTCAAGGCCAGCTTGAACTGCACAGCAAGACCCTGTCTCAAAAAGACAAGAAACATTGTGAAGGGGCCCGGGAGATGGCTCAGTGGAATAAACGCTTCCCTGGCAAGCGCAAGGGCCTGCTGAGTTCAATCCCCGGTCATGGAAAAAAAAGAAAGAAAGAAAGAAAGAAAGAAAGAAAGAAAGAAAGAAAGAAAGAAAGAAAAGAAACATTATTGGTAGAAAGACTACCCAAGGTGCAGAGGTCCCTAAGGCAACATGGAACCAGGATTTTAAGGAACAAGGAACCAGGATTTTAATGACACATTAAAATCCCCACTACCCAAGAGGGCCTTTATGCCATCTCTGTGAATGGGAGTTGAAGGAAGAGCAGCAATGGAAGGAGAGTGAACCGGGCCACGCAGGGGGCCGCGGGGCCGGCCTCAAGCCCGGGCTCTGCCTCTGAACGCGCTCTCAGCGATGCTCAAGCACATGGTGAGTGCTGAGGAGAGGAGAGAAACAAGGGCCGCCCTCCTGCCACCAGCACCCAGTGACCAGTCCTTGGGCCGCCTAGGCTGGGCTTTGTCATTTGCCCCAGCGGGCCTGACATCCGGCCTCTACAGCCCAAGGGGGAGCTACGGCCAACTTCTGCGAAGTCCTAGTGAGTTTTCTCCAGCTTTCAACCAGTAACCCCCTGGGCTACAGGAGAAATTAAATGGGAGCATATTCCTGGCTTAGTTCACGCCAAAGGCAAAACTAGCTCATTTTCACAATTCATTATCCAACCCACTAGCCATGACAACAGGGCTGCAGGCTATTTGGCGTGGCTGTTTATTATGAATTACCCTATTGTGCTGAGATAATTGAGAATTGACTCTGTTTGTTTCCTAAGAAAAAGAGGAAAAAAAAAAATTAAAGATCCATTTAAACAACCAGGTAAAACTAGGAGGAAAAGGATTCAACCACCTTCACGGAGCATAAGTGCCGCGCCAGACAGCGCTAAGGGATTCCTGCAGATGGCTTCCGGTGTCACCCTGACAGGCGTGTGTGATTTTTATTGCTCCCCTTTCACGGCCAAGAACGGGAAGCTCTGAGTGATTCAGGAACGCGTTTAAAAAATAAATAAAATACAGCCAGGTGTGATGGCATACACCTGTAATCCCAGCGCTTTCGAGGCTGAAGTAGGAGGATTGTCATGTGTTCCAGGCCTAGCTGAACTACACAGAGATTCAGTCTCAAAAAATTTTAAAAAAGGAACTTGTCTGAGCATGGCTAACAAGAAAATCTTGGAGCTGAGACTTAAACCCTGGTCTGCCCGACCTGAAAATCTCCGTAACCAGTTTCTATGTGCTTTACCCTAATACTGCAGCACATCAGCCATTTGTTCAAGGGTGACTAGGTTGGGAAGCAAAGCGTCCTCACAGGGAGGACGCGCTGAGACAAGCCCAAGTGCCCAGGACACACAGGGTCTGCTCCAGGCAGGTCAGCTCCAGCGCCCGACCGCTGGCCTCGAGAGGGCAGGCAGGGCGCAGGCTTTCCCTTGTTCTTTCCAGCAGTGCGGCCCAAGGCCAGTTCTAGTCCTTCTCTGAGCTTCAGCTCAGAGACCTCAGGGTTTTGGTTTTTGTTTGAGACAGGGTCTCGCTATGTAGCCCAGGCTGGCCTCGAATTAAAGGCAGTTCTCCTGCCTCAGCCTCCTGAGTGCTTTGATTATAAACATGCAGCACCACGCCCAGATCCTGTTCTAAAATTTTATCAAGTAAACTATGCGCTTGCTGAGAAGCAGGTGGGAGGGCAGGTGTGACTCCCTTTCGGGGTGGGCGCAGAGGACACGGCCCTGTAACAGCTCAAAGGCAAACCAGCAGGCGGGTGCAGCCCCACATAAGACCCAGGAGAACATCTGGCCACACGTTCTGACCTGGACAGTTTCCGCAAATGCCCTAAATATGAAAGCTGAGGAGGATTCCAGCAAGGTGAATGTGTGACATTAGAAGTGACATTAGCAACGTCAAAACTCTCCCTAGACATGCGTCCCATGTTGGGAGGACAGGACTGTCACCCTTCCTGAAGACTTCCTCCCCAGCTGGACTGCTCAAGTCAGCAAATATTGCACTGCTGAAAACGAGGCCATGGGGCGTGTGGAGAGCCCTCTGTGACAGTGCGATTCTTAAACACTGACCTTCCAGGTTTTGTTTTTTTCCACAGTTCTGTCAATTTTTTTTTTTTTTTTTTAAGACAGTCTGGCCTTGAACTTCCTACACATCACAGGCTGGCCACTAACTCTCAGTGATCCTCCCGCCTCAGCCTCCCAAGTGCTAGGATTACAGGCGTGCACCACCAGACCTGAATCACAGTCCTGAATCTACACTCCTCCTGTCACTTGTTGTGGAAAACACCTCCCCCATCTAAGCCTTCAGAGGTACTAAAAGATATTCTAGAAAAAGGAACTGCAAGGTAAGTTTCTCTAGATACGCCCAAGGTCCCTCGGTCCCTCTCGCAGTGTGGAACACCCTGGGGGCGCACGGGCACAAACAACACCACACTTACTCCCTGTGCATGCCCTCCAGGAGCACGGTGGCCACGCTCTTCAGCCTCTGCTCCAGCCCCGGCAGGCCTTCCGCTAGGGCGCCCAGAGTGCTGCTGGTGATCAGCCACACGCAAGCAATCGCCTTTAGCTGGTGCAGCTTTGCTGTCAGCTCCTGGAGTCGAGCCCCGTCGGTCAGGAGTGTCTAGCATATTTATGAAAACATAAAAATAGAAAGGGAAGCACAACACCATGAAAGTCTAAAATAAGCAACTTGCATTTAAGCTCCCATTTTCATCTGGCTTCAGGAAATGGGTAAACCTCAGGCAGCACTGAGCTTAAGTGAGTAAACCCCGGGGGAAGAGAAGGCACTCACCTCGGGCAAGTCCCTTTTCCGGTAATCCCACTCCAGCAGCTTCAGGAAACTGTTATGCAGCACCATGCGAGGGCTCAGCTTTGACTCGGAGCTATTTTCGGCCCCAGGAGTTAGAGAAAGCAGCTCTTCCTGCACAGATTCTCGGATCCACTCTGTCGTCTGCTTGAGCGCACCTAGGGGGGACAGAGCCACCCGTGGATCCCAGCGCCACAAGCCCATGTTTTGCACCCCACGTGCCAGATGCTACATTGGTGCTGGGCTCACGGGACCCAGGGGCCAAGCCAGCCTGCAAGGTGACTTCGGGGATCCTGGGCTTCCACCACCCCTGAAGGGCTCGTGTCACCTAGGGGCCCTACCCTTCCCATCCTAGCATCTGGCCACCACAGATCACTTCAATGACATCACAGTGAGAAGCACAAACAGAACCAAGCAGCAGGTGACTCAGCACCCACATTTACAGGTTGAAGTCCTGGCACCCAGAGGTGGCACTGGAGGCACAGCCTCGGGAGGCTGGTCAGAGTCAGACGAGGTCACGGCACTGGTGCCCTTAGAAGAGAAGACGTGGCAGCTCCCCCTCTCTTCACACACGTGCCCCAAGCCACAGGGTGGTAAAGTGGGCCCATTCTCAAAGGCAGGAAGTGCACTCTGGCCAGGAGCCTGGTCCAGCCTCCGCCAGGATCGAAACAAGAGCCCGCTGCACGGGTGGCCCATCCGCAGCGCTCTGTCATGCCACGTGCAGCACAGCAAGGCCAGGACAGCTTCCTAGGGGCTCAGCTTACTCGCACCTGTCCGTGGTACAGCGGGGCGCGTTCCTTCTTGGTGCTGAGTAGTGCTCCGTCACACGGAGAGGCCGCAGTGTCTGCCCGGCTAGCGGCTAGAAGACGGGTTGGGTCTGACTTGGGGCCCTGCACACAAGGCCCCTGGGCACAGCCACGTGCGGCCTCTGTACGAGTGTGACTTTACACTCCTTGGGGAACACATCAGTAGAGATTGCGAGGTGGCCTGCTAAGTGACTGCTAAACAGGAATTGCTAGACTGTTCTCTAAAGATTCTGCTTCATTTTTACTTTAACTGTTATGTTTATCTAATTTAATATTTAGTAATGGTCATGTTTTCCAGCTCATGGGATTCCTAAAAATGTAGCAAATGGTTTCCAAGCTAGTGCCAACCGCATCCCACGCACCACTGGCAGAACTCGCCTCTAAAATGTCAAGCAGGACCTTGCGTATGGAAGCAGAGAGGCGCTTGACATGGATTTCCTGAGCAGACCTGACAAGAACACACTCAGCACCTGCAGGACGGAGGCTGGTCAGCAAGAGAGGGGAGAAGTGACAAAGCACTCTGTGTGTGTGTGTGTGTGTGTGTGTGTGTGTGTGTGTGTGTGTTGGGGGACAGTCAGGTTTGCATCACAGTGAGTGAGTCCCAGCTAAAGCCATGGCAGGCTCTCGTGCCTGGTTCTCCCCTGCAGGTGGGCGGCTGCATTTGACGGCACACCCCGGGTGACTGCTGTCTCATTCTGCATCCGTGTACCTTGGGCAGGTTACTTCAGGCCCCCTCAGTTGCCACATCTGTAGCCAGGGGAGGAGACTCCACACCCTTTCCTGCAGCTGTGGTAAGGACTCCACCACTCGCACAGGCAGAGCACCTAGACCTGCTGCGTCACACTGGAGGTGTCCCTCACACAGAAGCGGTTGGGAAACCAGCTCATTTCACTCCTCACATGCCTTTGCTTCCTCTTGGCGTGGTTCTGGGGCCTGAAGCTCCTGAAGTCCAGGCCCACACAGCAGCCGCGTTGCTGCGAAGCTGCCCAAGACGGGGCCTACAGGCACAGCAGGCTACGGGGGATGAGGTGGCAAGCTGGAACGCTTGGCGTGCTAGCTTGAGGCGGAGGGATCCCAGCTGATCCTGCTACAGAGAAGCCCGATGTGTTACAGGCGGTGTCACCTGGAGCACATGAGACCCGAGAACCCAGCGTGACCCCAGCTTCTGGCCAGGGCTGAGCTCACGGAGGAGGAGCGCAGCAGGTGGCAAGGGAGGGAGTCGCTGAGCTGGAGCCCCAAGGGGACGACAGTGTCCAGTTAGGGTACTTGTTCGCAGCCGGCACGTTTCTGTATCAAGCTCAATTCTTCTGCATGAATAATAGGTGTCAGAGAGGCCTCGAGTTCCTTTGAGGCATAAGGCACCTCAGTATTATGACGTGGACCACTATTCTTGTCAGTCACGTAGAAGGTGCCGCTGGGGTGGGGGTGAAGGCTGCCCACCCTGCCGCAACCTTTCTTCTCCGGCAGCTCCCTGAAAGTTTGTGCGTATCCTCTGAGTGTCCAACCTCCAGTTATGACAGAGTGAGCCCCGGGGAAAGACATGTGTGACAGATGAGGGGGTACATGTTTCTTTCCACTCACTCTGCGTGCACTGCTGCCCACTTAAACATTGCTGTTCTGTCCTTCCCAGTGCAGGTCAAATTTTTGTTTGTCACACACGAGAACCCAGAAGCCCAGCCAGGGCCCATCACCTTGGTAACATTAGTAGGTACCTAACAGTTTCTGCTTGCAGAGTCGCCTGGACATGAGCTGCTTGTGTGGACAAGCACCACACCCCACAGACCACTCCTGAAGGGGCTCCCGAAGTGCTGGCTCCTCGGGCTGAGACCACTCCTCCAGTGAATGCAAAGGGGACAGGAAGATGAGGTGCCTACCACCTACCCTGACCAGCTACTGGAGCCCAGGGCCCAGCTCCACTGTCACCCTGAGTACCCCAAACTGTCCCAGAGCATGAAGACACCTCTTTATCCCTCGAGAATCGGAGGCCTTCCAACCTGCCCTCCAGAGGCTCAGCCTCGACCCCGGAGCCGCGTGGCCGGAGGACCCGCTGCTGTGGGGTACAGGACAGTCAGCCTCTAAAGCCAGCCGCACTCCCTGCACCTGCCCCCAGCAGGCTGGGACAACCGAGTGTCTCTAGATGGGGCTCAGTATCCACTGCGGGCCGCCCCCGGATGAGGACCGACTCAGGTACACTTTTCACTGACTTTTCTTCACAAATGCTTGCTTCCAGCACAGCTCAGGGTCTCCTGTCACGGGCCGAGCCTGGGCTGGCAGGCCTGGGCGTAGGGACCGTCTTCCGGCAAACGTGCTTCCCTTGTGGGTCGCGGTTCTGATGCCCGCAAGGTAATACCACAGGTTTGGGAGAATTGGTAGGGTCGGAACTGCTGAGAAGTGCAGGCTGAACACAGGAACACACTGTTAAGGAATGACTACACTTCTCCCCCAGACCTGCGCTTGAACAGGAGTGCTGCGTGAGTAGCTGTTTGTGGCAGTGAAGCCACGCCGCCCCACATTTCACAACTGCCTCTCCCCGGTTGTTCTCGGTCTGCGAGCTCTGTTTATGAAGATGTGGAGACCCTGCAGCCTTGACAGACAGATACCCAGCGGAGGGACAGAAGTCACTGTGGCTGTAAGTACAGCGTGGCGGGGACGAGCAGGCCGGATCACCTACAGCCCACGCCCGTAAGCCCACTTCATTATCACAGGTGAAAGAAGCGTGTGGCTCAGTGGCTCTCAATTCTGACTGACTTTAAAATCACCCTGGGAGCTTTACAAAAGTAGAGGAAGGGTTCCAGGCACAGGTCCTAGAGGTTCTTATGTCACAAGCCGGAGGTGGGCCTGGGGTGTCTGCACTTAGGTGCTGCGGGGGACACGGATGGACAACAGTTCAGCCTTCTCTCAGGACCCAGCCTGATGCGCGGTGCCTGGACCACTCCACACCACACCAAGAGCAAGGCCAAGCCACAAGGCAATCTGCCACCTTGTTGCTGATGGGCACAAGAGCGAGTGAGGTACAGGTGCCCTACCAAGCACCTGGAGCTCAGAGCAGCGGACACGGCCTCCAGCTCAGCAAGTGCGGCTGGGGAAAGAAACGGAAATGAAAAGAGACCTCAGGTGGGTGTAGCCCCACTTCCACAAGCCCCGAGACTCTAGAAGAGCGCGGCCCCACTACCATGTGTGCTCTTTGCCACGAAACGGGCCTTGCTTCTCTTCTTTTCTCTTGGTACTAATTTGTTTTGAGAAGCTGGTTCCCGCATTCCAGACTCCACCTCCCTCCCCACTGCCATCAGCAGGCTGGGCTGGTCCTGTACCCACCAGCCCTTCTGCCCACCCAGAATGTCCAGGGACACCTGAGTCTGGGGTCACCTGCGCTGACTCCAGGTGGGAGCTGGGCTCTCCACTGCCTGCCCCTACACAACGCCTGGCTTGGTGTGTGGCCTCCAAACTCCTCCTTGGACCATGTGACCTGCCTGGTCTTCACTGACTTCTGGGGGCAGGGGGTTAACGTCGTCGGCCTGTGGCCTGCAGTGTAAGCCAGCTCCCAGCTGAGCACAGAGCTGGGACACCCAGAGCAAGGGGCAGAAGCCACAGCTCCGCGTGGCTGGGAGGCCCCCTTGCCCCTGCCTGGCAGTGCCTCTGACTGAGTGGGTCCTCGTCAGCACCAGCACTCACGGCTACAGATGACACAACAATCTCTCCTGTAGTCAAGTCAGAAATCCAGCGTACTCTTTGTATTATTTTTTCCAATAAAGTTATAAATAACTATTTAAAAGTGTGCACAGAAAAAGCCCAAGGGCCCTTTGTGCTTCTGTGTGATACCTCAGGGCTCTTATTTTGATATTCAGGCCCGGGGCCAACTTCTGGAAGTGACTGGGGCACAACCGCTGGCCGACACAGACTCTGCTCTGAGCTCTGATTTCCTTCACTGGCCAAAAAGGACCTCCGTGTACAGCTGGATCTGCTCTGCTTCAGCCTCTAGAACTCGCCAAGTTAAGGCAAACGGCGCAAAGGGATTAGGGTTGCTAATGTTGGGTTTCCGGGACAGAAGTAATTTGAGATGAACAAAATTATAACTCTGCTGTGTAGAACTGGGGAACTGGCCAAGACTCCAGCTATTTTCTTTTGTTTCTTTTTTGACAGAGGGTCTCATTTTGCAGGGCAGGCTGGCTTTGAGCTCACTATGTAGCGTAGGCTGACCTCGAGCTCAAAGCAATCCTCCTGTCTCAGCCTCCAAAGTGCTAGGATTACAGGGTTGCACCTCCATGCCTGGCTAAAGCTATCTTGATTCTAGATCAAAGTACACACACACACACACACACACACACACACACACCCCTCAGCGCCTCAGGAAACCACTGCAGAGAATGTAGTCACTACACTTGCGCTTCAGAATCAGGGTCCCTGCAGAGTGCCACGTCTCTCGCTGCCCCCTCCTGGCACTGGGTCTTGGCATCAGGCCCTGCCCTCCACCAGCAGCTCCTCTAGAGCACAGCCTCTGCCAGATGGGCCTTGCTTGGAGAGAGGCAGCAAGGACAGGACTGCTCAGGCTGTGGGCAGGGATGCGTCCCCGTGACCCAGGCTCTGCCACTCTGGCGGCACCCAGCACAAGAACCCTCCGTTTTCTCCTCGACAGTGCTGGCCACAGTACCACACTCTCCGGCCACCCATGAGGCTTGATGAACTCAGCCAAAGCTTCGGGTCCTGTGGCTCTCAGAGGGAGTAAGAAGCCGGATCCTCCTTGCTACCAAGCAGGGCGGGCCTGCTGCGCTCGTGTGACCTTCAGAAGTGCGCCTTTACTCCTGTGTCGACCACCCTGACAGGAAAGTTTCATCATGGCGGTGGGGGCTCTGGGCAGGTGCCCTCACCAGCCGATCGACCCCGGCCGTTTTTGTCTTTTGGTGCTGGGAATGAACTCAGGACCTTGCACTTGCTAGGCAGGCACGGCGCCGCTGAGCTACAGCCCGGCACAGTGCATCTTCTCGCCACCCGCCTCTCCCAGCCACACCGGCAGTGACCACGGGAGCGGCAGCCCGCTTCCAGCCTGCTCAGTGCTGGCACCACCTGGCTGCCACCTCTGCTTTCCTCTTCGCTCTCACACAAGCTCTTCCCTAGGCAGGAGTAGAGCATTCTCCAAACATGGAAATCGGGGTCATGCACCCCGGGATCTCTCCAGTGACCTCCACAATGTGTGGGCTGAAGACGGCTCCAACGTGACGCCCTAAGGAGGACTCCGCAGTGCACCCACCTGGAAACCCCGCACGCCCACTGTTCCTGCTCCTGACTGTGCCCTAGCAGTTCACCAGGCCGGGCCCAGGTGCGCGGTCTGTCACCCACTAGCAGGTCTGTGGCTTCCCTGTCTGCCCACAGCTGCGCCCACGCCACACCTGGAACACAGCAGGGTGCAACAAATAGCTCTTGAGTGGATGCGGACGTCAGCAGCACTCAGCACGGTACTCGGGACAGACCAGACGGAAAGGAAAAAAAAAAAGTCAAGCTTACGGTTGTAAGCTCAGGACGCCGATTCCAGAAGGTAAAGCTACGTCAGAGGAGGCCAAAATTCTTCCGTGACACCATGGAAAATGTTAGAGGTCACAACGCATTTTTGCCCAGGTCCAATACTGCTGTACTCACTTGGAGTTTCATCTAAAATTTCCTGGAACTTGGCTCTCTCGTAGTCCACCAGCTGGCGCTGCAGATGCGGGCGCAGACTCTGAATCATGAAATTGGCCATGTCCATCATCATGAGGTCCAGCACGTGGAATATCTGTCTAAAATGTTTAGAATTAAAATCATTAGGGCGGTGGATAACAGTTCAAGCTGCAGCCAGGCACGGTGGCGGCGCTCACCTGTACTTGCAGCACTTGGGAAGCTAAGGCAGGAGGAGTACAGTGATTTCTTGTTTTGGGTTTTTTTGTTTTGTTTTTTTTTTGTCTGTACCAGGGATCAAACTTAGGACCTTGTGCTTGCCAGGCGAGTGCTTATGCCCCTGAGCTATCTCCCCGGAAAGTGTACGGATCTGAGAGCAGCCTGGGCTACACAGTGAGCTCAAGGCCAGCCTAAACTGCAGAGTGAGACCCTGTCTCAAAAAGATAAGGAAAAAAAAACAAGTCAAGCTAACAAATCCATTGCCTGTTACCTACGTGTCACAGGGTGGAAAAGGCGGGCAGTTCTTGAAGCTGTATTTGTGACTCAGCAAGGGCACTTTTTACTGAAGGCTCTACTGTGTGCTTCAGGGCTTTCAATGTTTATCGCAATAGATACGAATATCCCAGACTATCTGCCGGGGCTAGGCATCACTGGACTGAAACACACAGAGCTCCTCACCAGAGAATCTTAGAGATGACACAAGGAACACTAGACGATAGAAGGAATTTTTATTTGAAAGCCCCTGAAATTTTAAGGGGCCTGAACATAGTGGATATAGCTTTTATTCCTAAAGAAGTAAGAAAATATAAAGAAACGAAACATAAATGAAAGAAGAAAGGGGCTGGTGAGATGGCTCAGTGGTCTAAAGCACCTACTTAGAACAAGCTTAGCAAAGCACAGGGACC